ACCACCCAGGGCCCCTCTTTTTTTTTGTCCATTTTACAGACCCCCCCCCCTTATTCTTCATATTTTTTTTCTTTCTTCCGAAAATTCTATTTTACAGTCTATCCCCAGAAACCCTTTTTTTTTTTTTCCCCCCCCCCCCCCCCCTTGTCTCCTCTTCCATCTTTTTTCTCGTTATGAGCCTTTTTGTTGGTTCCTTGATTCCCATTCTCTCCCCTAGGTCTCTCAGCTTCAACTTCCTCCAGTTCAGCACAAGAAGTTCTGTCAGCTCATCGCAGCTGAAAAGTCCGGGAGGAAAGAAGAAGCCAAGGAAGCAGAGAAGAAGGTTGCACCAGAACAAAAGCCAAGCAAGTCCTCGGAAAAGGCGCTGCTTGCCAAAAAGATTCTGATGGAGCGAGAGGAGAGGAAGCGACTCAGAAAGCTCGAAGAGCAGAGAGATGTTGAGAGGAAGGAGCAGGAGCGGCAAGCCCTCCAGCAGCAGCAGCAGCAGCAGCGGCAGCAGCAGCAGCAGCAGCGGCAGCAGCAGCAGCAGCAGCAGCAGCAGCAGCAAGTCGAAGCCCCGACGAGTGACGGGGAGAGACTCAGCCGGTCGAACATGGCGAGCGTGGGGACCTGCGTTGCTCTCTTCGACTACAACGCGCAGGCGGAGCATGAGATGTCGATCAGGGAGAAGGAGGTCATCTCCATCCTCAGGAAACATCCTTCCGGCTGGTGGGAAGGATGTGCGAGCACCGGCGTAAGCGGCTGGTTTCCTTCGACGTTCGTGAAGGAGGTGACGGATGGAATTCCTCAGTTGAAGTCCGAGGCTGCGCCAGCCACTGGTAGTCAAGGGGAGGGAGAAGAGTCCAAGGAGCAGGAGGAAGTAGTCGAAGAAGTACAGGAAGAGGAGACTCCTGCTACGACATTGGCAGCTGAAGTGAAGGATGAGGAACAAGTTGAGGTCGCCCATGAGCAAGAGGAGACGACGATCGTACATGAAGGTGCTGGAGCGTAAGAGGTTGTCTCGTATGTGTTGGTGTATGAATGACGGTGATGATGTGGAGACGGGAGAGAGTGCGAGAGGTTGGATAGACAGGGGGAGGAGGAAGAGTGGGAAGGGCAGAAGTAGCCTAGAGGTTTATCGTTATGAATGTACAGGTTTGACTTGCATACCTTTACTGCTTCACCTCTCTACTGCGGGGGGTAGGGGCGCATGGGCCCTCGGTATCCTCTTCCCCTTCCTCCGTATTGGTCCCATGACGGTTGCCCGGGCATCGAGTTCCACCGGGGGACAGCAGCATGCGGCATGACAGGAGGCGGCTGAAAACCAGGGTACCGACCTGGATTGGCGAGCTCCCGCTGGTCATAAGGGGGCTGACTCGCTCCCCATGCTCCCTCGCGGTAGTACGGGGCGGGAGGGTCGGAGGACGGTCTGATTCTCACGTGCTCCTCGTAGGAGGGGAGAGGATCTTCCATCATGCGGGGAGCACGGAAGGGCTCTCGCGGCTCCAATTCCTGCCCGTACAGAGGCGGAGCAGCCCCAGCAGGCCCCCACTCGCTCCTTCCCATGCCGTCCCAGCGGCTCTCGCTAAAGGGCTCAGAGTGCTGAGGAGGACGGTGAGGCATGGGAGGAGGATACGCAGCGGGCTCGAAGTCGCTCCCCTGCGGCAACCTCCTCCTTGCTCCCTCATCCTCCACGTACCCCATGTTGTACATGTCACCCGAGCGAGAGCCCAACGCCACCTGCGGCGCGTTGACTCCTTGCATTGTTGCTACTGCCGCGCCCTCGTTCTTGATCGAAACGTCCATAGCAGAGCCCTCGCTCTGGCCACCAGCATGCTCTGAGCTCGGAAGGCCGGCGTCTTCGTTGACATGCTCTACACTGTCAGGGCTGAAGAGCAGCACGCCGAGCATGAATTCGCACTTCCTGGATGGCGGATCAAGAAGCTTGCCCGCGTCAGAGACAGGAGGGATGAGGTACATCAAGACAGATGGGGTATCGAGGACGACTGCAGCTCTTCCCTTCTCTTGGAGAACTTTACAGAAGTCCAAGTAAGCCTCCGTGTCAGCCTCCCCTTCGGGCTCGAACTCAACCACCGTCACCGTGTTCTGAAGCAGGTACTCGATCACACTGTCAAGTTCAGCCTTCTCCAACACCACGAGCTCCTTGGGAATGACCTCCACACTCTTCTCACCTGTGACGTGATTCAAGCGCATGCTGCAGCTGGAAGTCTGTATCTTTCCAAACGTGGTCGAAGAGAGCTGGAACACGTTTCCCCTCCTCGGACTCGTCAGCTTGCGGTCAAGACTAGGCGGCGGCCTCGGAATCGGCTCCACCTTCTTCGAGTGATTTTTCCGTCTTGTTGCAATTGCAACTGCAAACATCAAGATCGATTCGTCGCCATCGGAGTTCATCGCGTCGAACAAGTGGTTTGCCTGAGAGAAGCCATAGATGATGATCTTGTCCTTGATTTCACAAAGAACATGAGCCTTCGTCTGCCTATCCAGAGATGACTTCTTTTCCAAAACTGACTCTTTTCCGGCATGATCTGGACCAATCAGGATCTTGTAGAACCCAACAGACTTGCTCTTATCGTGAAGCTTGTCCTGCACGTACTTCTCAGCTTCGATCGGGTCTAGGTGCCCTCGGACTATCAACTCTTTCGGGAACAAGTCATGCACCTCCACGCCCCCATAATGTGATATGTCAATGTTCAAGTGCAGATTGGTGTCCCGGATCGTTCCAGACCAAACCCGCCGCAGCGGCACCTTCTCAAAGTCGAAGATCTCTAGCTCCCTGTGAGGGTCACTGGCGTGCACGTCGAAGTCAGGAGTGACAGGCTCCGCCACGTGGGCCTCCAGCATCGGAGAGAGCTCGACACTGTGCTTGATCTTGTCTTCGTCGTCCTCAATGTTGGACAACGTTGGCTTCCACTCCGAGTTGAGGTAAGACTTCTGATCCTCCTCCGCCATGTTCAGCCCTGCTGCTACGATAGATGCAGCCTTGTTCCTCTCCTCCTCCTTCTTCTTCTCTTCCTCTAGCCTTTTCCTCTCGTACTCCTCCTGCTCTTTCTTAGCTTGCTCCGCCTCTGCTTCGTGCGACACGGTAACCAAACCCTGGTCTGTCTTCCTCATAGTTTGACCCTCAGCAGAATTCTTCAGCCTCTGGACCTCCTCATTGTTCACTCTGTCCTTCAAGCTCTCTTCGGCCGCTGTAACTCGCTTCTGCTTGACATCCGTGGAAGCAAGATCTGCAGAGTTCATGCTTGCGAGGTCATCGAGAGGTATTTGCCCCGATAGCACGTTCTCCCGCAACTCTGTGTTCCTCTCCAAGTTAAATTTGAGGGTTTTGATCCTTTCTATGTAATGAGCCTTGATCTTATCAAAACTTCCATCCCCGTACTTGGACTTGCAGAACTCGTACACGCTATTCTCGAGCTGCGATCACACGTCAATACAGCCATTGGGTAACAGGGCATGAGGCAGCCATTGCTACAACATCGAGACAGGAGAGGCAAGAGCAGGCAAGAGCAGGCAAGAGCAGGCAAGAGCAGGCAACAAGTCATAGTTCCTTACAGTTGTGGAGAACTGCTGCGCTTGACCTGAGTCTGAGAGCGAAAATGCCTTCGCTAGCGTTTCTCGGGACTGGCAACGCTCGAATCAAGTAGAGCAACATCTCTAGAGGTGATCAAACCTTCTTCCGCCGGTTTTGATCTTGTTTGGGGGCTTCGATGTCATCTGACCTCTTGCGCTTCAGAGTCGGTGTTGCCAAGGAGGCGTCGTCCGAGTCCATGTGTCCAACCTTTGCTATTCTCACCCTGCAACAGTGTTAGCCTGCCGAACTCTGGTTCGATGGTGGAGAAGAGGTACAACAACATCTGATGTTATGTGATCGACTGATGACTAGGTACTCAGTAAACCTGAGCTCAACCATATTCAAGTATAACTCAACCTCTTCCCCTCCGTCCGCATCGCTGCCTCTTTTCGTCCTGCTCTCAGTCGCTCACCACCCCCGTTCCTCCCACTCATGAGAACGCGCTTCCTCTTCCTCTCTATCTCCTCCTCTTCCTCCTGCTCCCCTTCATCCTCCTCCTCATTCTTCCCTCCTCTCTCTCGCGTCCTCGAGCTTCACTTCCTGGTCCCTCCCGCGCATGCATGTGAAGGGCACCTGCCCTAGGAGAGGGCCAGGTCGGTGGGGTGGTAAGTTTTGTGGGATGGGGGGTCCAAATGTCTGGAGATGCAGGGGGTTGTGGAAACTGACACCCCTTGGAATGACAGGATTTGAGGGGCCATAGCGGGTCAAATGGATGTATAAATTCAATTTTGGGGGGTGGGGGTATCAAGAACCGGGTGGGGGGTGACATCAAGGTAGGGTCGGGTGGAGGTCAATATTAGCAGTATGTGAATCAGCTCGAAAAAAATTTCTGTTTCATATTCAAGCTAATTCTTTTTCAACATTTGATGCATAGTGATTTTTTTATGAAAATAATTCACTCTAGTTTTGAAATTGTGATATCAATGAGCGAAACCGCCTGAGACTGGCCTGAACTGAGCTGATCGAAGAGTCAAAGCCAACATGATGGGCACGGCATGGCGGCGGAGATCGGGTGAGAAGAGACATGGCATGCAGTGAGGAGCCTGAAGTGTGTTGATTGATCGTGTATAATCGAGTGATATCAGTTGCGAATAACTGTAAAAAGTTCACTTTGGCATGTTGAGTGCTTAATAGTTAGATCGGTACAATTCATGCACCAAATTAAGGCTTGCTTGATAAGAACATGAGATTAGATCGAACTCTGGGTATTAGAAGCATCTGTTCATCACTGCTTGGCCCGGCGGGAGTCTCAGCCTGTCACTAGCGCCAGCCTGTCACTAGCCTAAATAATCCGATGGTTCAATGATAGTCCAATGCAGGGATGGGCTTGTTGGGATCTATCTTCGCGGCTGTGGCTTGCATCCTCGTAGTTGGAACCATCACCCGAGTATAGATGTCAGTGTTTGCTGATGGGCATGTTGACTAACTTGGCCGCACGAACAACAGATCCCCTACGACAGCATTTTGCTTGTGAAAGAGGCAAAGATCAAGAGCGCCGAGACCATCCTGGCATCAAACCTTAAGAGAGATGCGGCAGGCAAAGCAAGGATTGAATCTGAGCTGGTAAGTTACGTAGTATCTCTTCCCCTGCCTCCATTCTCATTTTCGCTGACATTTCTTCGAAAGCATGCTCTGCACCAGAAGGAGCGATCCCTCGAGGTGGAGGAGCGTCAGTTGAGTGCACGGTAGATCTTCGTGCTTGTTTGTTTCAAAATCTCACACGATGAGAAGCCATCAAGAGGACAAGAATGAGTTCCAGCAGCTCAAGAAGGTAATGCAAGGAAATCAACAGCCTGCTCTGATCGCAATCTCGACGTCAGGAGCTCAAAGAGAAACAATTGGCGGATCTAAACCTGCAAAAGACTATTGATGAGCTGAAGCTAGAGAGGGATTCTAAGCTCATCAAGGGTGAGCCATGGTCATCTCTTTGCTAAAATATCTGAATATACTGCAGCTGTCTCAGACACTGTTGAGGCCTCCAAGCATCAAGTCTTGGTTCTAAATCTGAATCCCTTTCTTGTTCTCATGCAAGTTTGAACAGAAGACAAAATCTGGCAGCTCTCATGCAAAACCAGCTCTCGCTGCGAACAAAGTAAAATTCCAGGTATTCTTCAAAGCTGAAATTAGACCATTGATGATGACCTCACACTCTTCCAGTTGCTCAGGAAGAAGGTTTATCCCAAGGGCGGCGGAGCACAAAGAGCCATCAAATTGGTACAGAAAGCACAAAGTGCAATCTTGGTACCTGACCTCCCTCTTTCCAGATTGACATCAAATCGAACGATTGCCTTCCTCCCAAAGTTCTGGTTGACGGAGTGTGTCTTTCAGACCCTGAAAGTACGTGATTGCAGCAACTATATAGCTCCTACTGAGTCGAATGGTGATAGGTATGAAACCTCCTGCTTTCTGCTCCGACAAGAACAGTGCACAATGCAAAGAGTGGATGGTAATTGCAACTTGTTGTTCAGCTACCAATCAATGTCTCTGAACTGGTGGCTGTAAAAGGCAAAGAGAGAGCAACTTATCGAAACCTACAAGCAGCAGCTGAGGGATAATTACCCATACAGGTGCGCTAGAAACCACAGAATGCATTGTTTCTAAATGCGTGGCTTTCAGATACAGCGAGGACGAGTATTCTGGAGACTGGCACTACACCCCAGGATTCAGGTTTGTGGTATTCCCGTCTCGTGCCATCGTCGTAACTTCGATCCTCCAGCCACAAGTATCGCGTGATCCCTCAAAGATACCCTCACAAGGACGGATCCGATCTCGGGGACAATTACATCTGTGTGTTTGCATCTGACTTATGAATCCTCCTCTGTGCGACACTTACACAAGCACAGCTGGCCTCAGTGATAGGGACTTCGAAACAAGAGAGTTTGACGATGCCTTTGTTCGAAGGTGAACCGGAGGGAAGTTAGTGAGTCCCCTGACACGGCGCTGTTCCAGCTCTGCCAGCAAGACTCGAACGCCTGTCATGTTCAGGCCTGTGACCGGATTCCATGACACCGATCTTACAGGGTCAGTCATGCCCAGCCAATAACACTTTTAGCTGACTCCCTCGCCTCTCAGACGATATCAGCTTGAGCACTTGAAGCCCGTCGTCCGGTCGATGGACAAGGGGACCATGGATCTCCAGCATGAACTCTTCGGAGACGACAAGTGAGATGAGGACGGGACTTCGAAGAGGATCGGGATTCGATCTTTTTTGAAACTTTGTGCTTTCAGGTACTACGATGAACCGTTCTACTCCAAACAGTACCATCCCAAGGTTGAACCCCGCGTGTTCAACACACAAGACCGCTTCCGCCCTCTCTCTGCTGGAAAGGTCCTGAAGGGTAGGAGAATCAATCTCATTGGGTGTTGCTCTGCTAACTAGCAAGAGCAGAGAACCAAAAACTCGCAGTTAAGGGAGACCTTACCCCTGAAGAGTCGCAGCTTGTCTATGTACGTCACTGTCCGACACCTCACACCCGTCTGGTGTCTGACGAGAGCTCAGGGGAACATGGGCTCAGATAAGTGGTTCAAGGATGACAAGATGCCTGCAGAGGTGAGCTGCTCTCTCTTCCTGCCCCGCAGGGCATGACTTTTGTGTGGCAGACTGTCATGGAACATCACAAGAACGACTTCCGCAATCGCAAGGTGTCCCACCCCCTCCGCCCACAGTCTCCAGGCTGTATTGCTCTTGCCCTGCTCGCTGACTCTCTTTCCTTTCTTTCAGGCGCGTGGCGAGCCTGTCAGCGACGCTCTCATTGCTGGCTGGGACATGATGAACGGAGTGGCGGATCCTTGATAGACTCAGTCGCGTGATTACAAAGTTTGAATTTCGTTTTTGCTACCCCACGAATCATTTTGAATGGCGAGCGACTGCCAGTCCGACTCGGACCGGGCCGAGGCCCGACGGTCCTCAGTGACTCACCATGGCAATGATTCAACCGGGCCAATGGATACCCCAGTGCCCCACAAAACTAGCCCACACGATACGGTCCGCAAGCTCGACTGAGTCAGTTTGCCTCCTCGTGCCCGATTCGGCATCGGATGGCCCAGAATAAATTTAAACAGTGCGGGCATCAGATCAACTTGGTTATATCTTTGCTTGCTGCCATCAATTTAAGGTATTGATTTCTCTGAGGTGGATTTGCTGACCAGATACGACCCGAAGTAAGAATTAAGCAAAACTAGAAACTATTTGCCACAAATAATGCAGAAGGCGATGATGAAGGAGGGAGGGAGCAGTGAAGGCGCATCAGCACAAGAAGCACAAGGATCGCCGTGATGGTTGAGAATGAACCGCCTCTGTCCCATGGGAGGTTGGCCATTGAGACCGCAAAGCATTGGTGGAGGCCGAAGGTGACAGGAGGCAGAAGCCTGGTGCAGCCTTGCAAGGAGACAAATAACCACAAGGAGATGGACAGGTCACATGCTTATCTTGATAGACTCTATCACCTTGGCGTGGATGAGATGATCAGACGCCGTGGCGACTACTGGCAGAGCAGGCTGAGGACTCAAAGCTCGCATCAATACGTCAAGAGACCTTGGAGGATACTGGTGTCCAGAAAGCCGCTCTCTGCAGCATTGACTCTCGCGCACGCGCAGCTTGGCCTCGTCTTGATGATGCTCATCTTCATCTTCCTGCATCCTCATGACTCTCTCCTCGTACAAGTCAGGAGCTTGATTGCTCAAGAGACTTTCTCCCACTTCCGAGTCTCTACCGTGCACAACAAGTCATCGTTGAGCGAGATAGAAGGCTGGGGTGTCATGTCTCAAGGACACTTGTTTCCTACCCCTGAGGACGGAGCTGAGGTGTGCCGGGCGGAGTCGAGGATACAGATACACAGGATCTCTCCAGACGGAGACGCGAGCTACATCACGATGCGTCATGCGACAGTCACAGACGGGATCTACTTCCTGTTGACCGATGGAGGGGGGCCAGCTCGGCTAGCAGACTTGAAGATAGAAGGGTCGAGCGACGGGCATCACTGGAAGGACCTGAGGAGGTCAGGAGCGTGCGGTCGTGCGGTGATGAGAGGACTGGGGAGGGAGGACCAAGACAGATCCGGGTCCTTGACATGCGGTAAGGGGAGGAGACAGCTGATTGAGCTGCATCTATCCGGGGTGGAATGCAAGTGGATGGAGTACATGGACGCATGTAGGAGCCTGGTAGCAGTGATCTGCATCGTGCTTGCGCTGGTCTTGTCCCGGACAGAGAAGTACGAAGGTGCGGTAAAGGTGATTCGAGTCATGAGTTGATCGATGCATGCTGGACTGACATCAAGGATGTGCAGGCGATGGGCCTTGGAAGCCTCTTATGGTCGATGACGTATCTGGGACTGTTCTGGCGGTATGAGTGGGGTCACTACAGCACGGCCGAGGCTTTGTATGCACTGCAAGCGCTGGGGGTGAGAATCGCTTTGTGCATGAGCAGGCGAAGTGAAAGCTGATTTGAGCTGATGCAGGTGATGGTGATCTTTCCAGGTCCTGCGGTGATCTCCGAGGCCGTCGCGTTTGAGCAGATGCTCGTCTGCGCGTTGTACATGATCGCCTGCTCCCTTGCCCTGACCGCAAGGATCAGTGTCAGCGCCATCCTGGCTCTGACCTTCATGGTCTTGTTGTTAGTGCTGAGGGAGGGAACCAAGCGGAGATCGAGGCGAGTAGCCATGGAAGGCGTGGAGGAATATGCATCGATCTTCGACGAGAGCAAAGAGCAGATTCTTCCCTACTTGGACTCTCTCTCGCGGACGATCTCAGAGCTCAATCTTGAAAGCCAGCGACGTACCTACAGGCACCATACCTCGACAAGGCAGGCTGAAGAGGGCTTTGCCTACGGCCTTGGAAGCGAGCGCTTCACACGATACATGGCAGCTCAGTCAAGGGACAGCCGAGTCAAGTCACTCGACCAACTCTTCCTGCAGGCAATCGTAGTGCACGACCAGTTCCTCAGCAAGGTCAAGGCGATCTGCTCGGGTCTCGACGGAGTCTCGCTAGACCTTGCCCCGGATGGAACCTTGCTCAAGGACTTTGAGGGGTGCGTAGAGAAGGCTGTTGTAGCTTACGACGGTGACGTGTCGAGGCTCGTGGACGTCGTGAGCACCAGGTTGGTATGCAGGGACTTGAGAGATGTCCGGTCTTGTATTGAAGTGATAGCAAAAGATCCAGACCTCCAAGTCATCCGAGTCAAGAACAGGTTCGATCGCCACTACGATGCCCGGCAGACAGGGGGATACAGGGACGTGTGCTTGAACGTGTGCCTGGTGACGGACGAGACGTGGAGGGTCGGGGTGTCGGGGCACGTGTGCGAGCTGCAGCTGGCGCTTGAGAGCTTCTTGGGAGCTTGGAAAGAAGATGAGGACGAATCGTACGTGTTGTATGATCAAGTCTGTGAGCTGTTGGGAGATGGAGACGGGTCAACATATCAACGGGTCAGCGGCATGGCGCTGCAGGACAAGCAATGGGGGAACGAGGAGCCATGCGGTCACACGGAGAAGACTGTCAACGCTGCATCCTGCGACATGGCAGCAGAGGAGAATCGCGTCCGGGCGTTGATGAGGCAGAAGTGCTGCTTCCCGGGTGACCTGTTGGAGAGGTACTTAGCGGATGTTTGCCATGGAGTGGAACGAGCTGACATAAGCAGTGTGATGTTCGGGACAGCTCCGATCAAGCTAGGCTCACAGAAGCTTGCGCTTCAGCTTTTCTTGGTATTGCAGGCGGCCGTGCAGATATGGAGAATCTTCAAGCCAAGTGGAGTGATGGATACTATTTGTACAGAGATGTCTTTCACAAGTCGCCACCTGCGCTTCACGACGTTGATGGCCAGGGACGGAAAATCTCCGAGAGGCCCTGGGATTGCAAGCGTCGGTTTGCTTCACAACGGCTACGAGCTCAACTGCTCCAAGACAAGGCTCTGGGGCTACAACAACTCCCTGTACGCTTCTTTCGAGGAGGCGGTCGTTGCCAACGGATGGTTCTTTCGCACAAGTGTCGAGAACGGCACAGAGGAGAGCGACCCTGCGTTGTTTGTCTTTTCCTTCTCCTCGGTTCCCTCCGATGCGCCCTGGACGCTTCCAAGCAGAGCCTGGGAAGTATACGGGGGACCGGAGTGCCACTGGAAGATGTATTCGGCAAGATGTCACCCTCTAGCACGACGAGAGTACAAGACAAGCAGATTGCGCAACCATGTCCACGCGTTCGATCATCGACCGCCATGGTTTCAAACGATGCATATACAATACGGTTTCTTGGTATCGTTCCACTATACCATGACTGCTGTGATGGGATGGATGCGGAGACCGATTGCGGCGAAGTTCTTTTGGGTAAACCTGTACTTCGTGCTGGGGAGCATGGTGTTTTGCAAGGCAGTGATGCATGTCTTGTGTACCACCATAGAGTCATCCTTCTACTGGTGGATCGTGGGAAGCTCGCTCTTCGGACTGGGGCTGACGAGCTGGTTCAAAGAGAGATATGTCATGCACTACCTGCTGTTTCATGCATGTCTGAGCTCTGTGGCAATCAATGTTTACTCGTGGTTGTATCTTGGCATCGGCTTCAGAGCTCCCAGCAGCGCTCCCGTCCTAATCTTCACATTTGTTGCCTGGTTGCTGTACAACAGGATCGTCTTGTATCGAGCATGGCAGCACGTCGCAGAAGATTGCAGGCACTATGACGATCTGACGACGAAGTTGTTGCGAGATCCGGACAGCCAGCGATGTATAGAAAAGATCTCAACACTGACCGAGTGTCTGGGTGTAGGGCGACAGTTGTCACAGTACCAGGCCGTGTCTCGCTTCCGACGAGGCTCTCGATTCGGGTATTCCTCCGCTGGGTTCGTAGTGCGAAGTCAAACAGCTGTGGGAGTGCTGATGCGTCTGCTTGATGGGGTGAAGGGTATGCTTGGATGGACTGAGGCAGCACGATCGAGACAGATCCAGTGCTTTGATCAGCTCTACATGCAGGCATTCCTGCTGGACCCGCTGTTTCTAGACAAGGTCAAGAGTCTCGCAGAGAGGGCGGGAGGCTTCTGCTTGGTGGAGGATGAAACGAGCGAAGCCAGGTGCAAGCCGATGCGATGGAGGGACTGCAAGCTAGACGAGGCTTTGAGGGGCAAAGCGCGCTTTGCCAAACTGAAGAGCATCGACAGATGTGTAGAGAAGCTCTCGAGGGCGTATGCTGGGGACGTGTCGAGGCTCGTGGACATCGTAAGGCAGAGCATCATGTTCGAGGATCTGAAGGAGCTGCATGCGTGCTTGGAGATGATTGCTGAAGATCCAGACCTCCAAGTCATCCGAGTCAAGAACAGGTTCGATCGCCGCTACGATGCCCGGCAGACAGGGGGATACAGGGACGTGTGCTTGAACGTGTGCCTGGTGACGGACGAGACGTGGAGGGTCGGGGTGTCGGGGCACGTGTGCGAGCTGCAGCTGGCGCTGTGCGACTACAAGATGCGTGCGACGTCAGGGAAGGGACACAGTCGGTATGTCTCCTACAGGAACCTGCGCTGCGAGTAATGCTAGCCTTGCTGAAACAATGATAAAACTTTGTGACCTATCATGCTGACCCGACACTGGCTTGACCAGGGTTAGGGGGGAGGCGGTTCGGCCACCACTTGAACCTTTGTCGCTAGCCCACGTTGATCACTCTAGCCGTTGTCCTTGGCTCTCTGCAGGTGCTTCAGCTGAATAGTCAAGAAGGCAAGACGCTGCGGCACTGGAGGGCGATAGAGCTGCAAATTTGATTAACGCTTTCGCCGGCGTAGCCCTTGCCTGTATCGAGTTTACATGGTTGGATTGATTGAATGGACATGTGCGAATGACGTCGATTGGGGCTGATGTCTGCTGACATGAAGGCAGACGTAGCCCGGGATGATGGCATCGAAATCCATAGACCTTGACAAGTTGACTGTGCAGCACTTGATATTCTGGATTTCACACTATTTGAGTGTCAAGCCTGATCTTTCTTTTCCAACCTGCAGTCATTACAAATCCGCACTTACGTATATCTTGCATTTCTATGACGCGCCAGTGGATCGTTTTACAATAACTTGATGGTGCAATGGAGCAAGGAATGGATGCGATCGAACAAGGGGATGCAACATTCGAACAAGGATGAGATCGGAGCAGATAAAGCCATGAATGGGAAGGGCACGATGGAATCGATGGCAAGAGATTACGGTGAGAGCAGGGGCCCTCCATCAGCTGCGTCTCAGTCAGAGTCTGCAGCTTCAGTAGTGGCAACAATGACGGGCAGACTGGTGACGTATGGTTACTTTGGCACTTCGGGCATGCAGCGACAGGACATGAACAGAGGCTTTCCAGTAAGTGAAGGACACCAAATTCTTTCCAGCGACCTCGGACGGTCGAAGCGGGGTTGATCTATGAGCAATGTGAGGATATCCTTGATGGAAGAATACGAGCGAGTCTCAAGGCTGACAAGACTGGAGGCGCGTTGTATCCTGGACTCATACTGGACGCCCCTTGCACGTAGCATAGGGAAATAGGATGACGATGCCAGACAGCATGCTGCTGATCTGATGAGTGAGTGTGTGTGTGTGCTTATCAAACGGTGATCCTAAGATCATCTGAGCTCAAGGTCTTACGCAAGGTTGTGTATACAACATGGCGACATGGATGACTTATGAGGCCTTCGAAGCAGGCAGCATACGGAATGAGATATGAATATGAATGGTGTGAAATGGATGAGCAGTTTGATCAGAGGCATCTTTCAAACCTGTCGTGCGCTTCAAGCCGATCACAATTTCCTGCACTTGGAGCAGGTTGCATGGGCTGTTGAAGTGCTGGGTCTCGAAAACGGGACCTCGACAGGAGTGAGATGAACGTAGAAAAGGAACGAAATCAATTACCTATTGGATCATGCTAGAAATATCTGCTACCGCTCAACTCGAGCACACAATACTCATCTCGGCATCGTCGGTTGCTCCCCTGAGCAATCTTTTCAGCAAGAAACATGTCTCAAGTTGCTGAAATGACGAGCGGGAAGAAGGAGTATCACCTTGAAGTTGCTAGGAAAGTATTACAGCATTTTCGCGTCAATTTCCTTTACTATTAGAATTCACAATAAATAATTGCAATCTCCTGTTTCTTTGACCAATTCATCCGGAGAAGTGGAATGGAACTGAATTCCCTAAAGGATTTCATCTCGTGGCTCAATTAGAGAGAAGGGGCAGAGAGCTCAAGTGATAGGAGTCGACAGTTTGCACAGACAACGTACTTCAAGAACATGCGAAAGAAAGAAGCAACGCGTTCAGATGAGATCAAGTGTTGGTTCTGAAATGCGAATGATAACGAGACTGATGGCTTTTAGATTTTGGCTGTAACTTGAATTGGATGGTTTAAAGGTTTGCAAAACATATAATTCATGGTCAAGTGCCACAGTGAATGATATCCTAGGTTGTAATAAACGCAAGTTGCTCTGGTAAATCTTGTGAAACCTCGTTAGACGTTGCTCAGTTCTGTGTCATTGAAACAGCGAGATGGAGTCACTCAGTAGAAGTGTTGTTGAGTCATGGACCTCTGAGACTACATCTAAAGCGGTTTTCGCTGCCTTTTTCTTTTCCTAGTATTTTATTGAGGCGGGTTTGTAGACTCTATCCTCCCCCTCCTTTGTTTGCTCCGGTTTGCCCTTCTTTTTCAGTCAATACAGAGAACCTTTGTGACGATAGATGGAGGGAGCTGTGAAGGCGCATCAGCACAAGAAGCACAAGGATCGCCGTGATGGTTGAGAATGAACCGCCTCTGTCCCATGGCAGGTTGGCCATTGAGACCGCAAAGCATTGGTGGATGCCGAAGGTGACAAGGAGGCACAAGCCTGGTGCAGCCTTGCAAGGAGACAAATAACCACAAGGAGATGGACAGGTCACATGCTTATCTTGATAGACTCTATCACCTTGGTATGGATGAGATGATCAGACGCCGTGGCGACTACTGGCAGAGCAGGCTGAGGACTCAAAGCTCGCATCAATACGTCAAGAGACCTTGGAGGATACTGGTGTCCAGAAAGCCGCTCTCTGCAGCATTGACTCTCGCGCACGCGCAGCTTGGCCTCGTCTTGATGATGCTCATCTTCATCTTCCTGCATCCTCATGACTCTCTCCTCGTACAAGTCAGGAGCTTGATTGCTCAAGAGACTTTCTCCCACTTCCGAGTCTCTACCGTGCACAACAAGTCATCGTTGAGCGAGATAGAAGACTGGGGTGTCATGTCTCAAGGACACTTGTTTCCTACCCCTGAGGACGGAGCTGAGGTGTGCCGGGCGGAGTCGAGGATACAGATACACAGGATCTCTCCAGACGGAGACGCGAGCTACATCACGATGCGTCATGCGACAGTCACAGACGGGATCTACTTCCTTTTGACCGATGGAGGGGGGGCAGCTCGGCTAGCAGACTTGAAGATAGAAGGGTCGAGCGACGGGCATCACTGGAAGGACCTGAGGAGGTCAGGAGCGTGCGGTCGTGCGGTGATGAGAGGACTGGGGAGGGAGGACCAAGACAGATCCGGGTCCTTGACATGCGGTAAGGGGAGGAGACAGCTGATTGAGCTGCATCTATCCGGGGTGGAATGCAAGTGGATGGAGTACATGGACGCATGTAGGAGCCTGGTAGCAGTGATCTGCATCGTGCTTGCGCTGGTCTTGTCCCGGACAGAGAAGTACGAAGGTGCGGTAAAGGTGATTCGAGTCATGAGTTGATCGATGCATGCTGGACTGACATCAGGGATGTGCAGGCGATGGGCCTTGGAAGCCTCTTATGGTCGATGACGTATCTGGGACTGTTCTGGCGGTATGAGTGGGGTCACTACAGCACGGCCGAGGCTCTGTATGCACTGCAAGCGCTGGGGGTGAGAATCGCTTTGTGCATGAGCAGGCGAAGTGAAAGCTGATTTGAGCTGATGCAGATGATGGTGATCTTTCCAGGTCCTGCGGTGATCTCCGAGGCCGTCGCGTTTGAGCAGATGCTCGTCTGCGCGTTGTACATGATCGCCTGCTCCCTTGCCCTGACCGCAAGGATCAGTGTCAGCGCCATCCTGGCTCTGACCTTCATGGTCTTGTTGTTAGTGCTGAGGGAGGGAACCAAGCGGAGATCGAGGCGAGTAGCCATGGAAGGCGTGGAGGAATATGCATCGATCTTCGACGAGAGCAAAGAGCAGATTCTTCCCTACTTGGACTCTCTCTCTCGGACGATCTCAGAGCTCAATCTTGAAAGCCAGCGGCGTACCTACAGGCACCATACCTCGACAAGGCAGGCTGAAGAGGGCTTTGCCTACGGCCTTGGAAGCGAGCGCTTCACACGATACATGGCAGCTCAGTCAAGGGACAGCCGAGTCAAGTCACTCGACCAACTCTTCCTGCAGGCAATCGTAGTGCACGACCAGTTCCTCAGCAAGGTCAAGGCGATCTGCTCGGGTCTCGACGGAGTCTCGCTAGACCTTGCCCCGGATGGAACCTTGCTCAAGGACTTTGAGGGGTGCGTAGAGAAGGCTGTTGTAGCTTACGACGGTGACGTGTCGAGGCTCGTGGACGTCGTGAGCGCCAGGTTGGTATGCAGGGACTTGAGAGATGTCCGGTCTTGTATTGAAGTGATAGCAAAAGATCCAGACCTCCAAGTCATCCGAGTCAAGAACAGGTTCGATCGCCACTACGATGCCCGGCAGACAGGGGGATACAGGGACGTGTGCTTGAACGTGTGCCTGGTGACGAACGAGACGTGGAGGGTCGGGGTGTCGGGGCACGTGTGCGAGCTGCAGCTGGCGCTTGAGAGCTTCTTGGGAGCTTGGAAAGAAGATGAGGACGAATCGTACGTGTTGTATGATCAAGTCTGTGAGCTGTTGGGAGATGGAGACGGGTCAGCATATCAACGGGTCAGCGGCATGGCGCTGCAGGACAAGCAATGGGGGAACGAGGAGCCATGCGGTCACACGGAGAAGACTGTCAACGCTGCATCCTGCGACATGGCAGCAGAGGAGAATCGCGTCCGGGCGTTGATGAGGCAGAAGTGCTGCTTCCCGGGTGACCTGTTGGAGAGGTACTTAGCGGATGTTTGCCATGGAGTGGAACGAGCTGACATAAGCAGTGTGATGTTCGGGACAGCTCCGATCAAGCTAGGCTCACAGAAGCTTGCGCTTCAGCTTTTCTTGGTATTGCAGGCGGCCGTGCAGATATGGAGAATCTTCAAGCCAGGCGGAGATTCTGATACAATTCGAGCAGAGATGTCTTTCACAAGTCGCCACCTGCGCTTCACGACGTTGATGGCCAGGGACGGAAAATCTCCGAGAGGCCCTGGGATTGCAAGCGTCGGTTTGCTTCACAACGGCTACGAGCTCAACTGCTCCAAGACAAGGCTCTGGGGCTACAACAACTCCCTGTACGCTTCTTTCGAGGAGGCGGTCGTTGCCAACGGATGGTTCTTTCGCACAAGTGTCGAGAACGGCACAGAGGAGAGCGACCCTGCGTTGTTTGTCTTTTCCTTCTCCTCGGTTCCCTCCGATGCGCCCTGGACGCTTCCAAGCAGAGCCTGGGAAGTATACGGGGGACCGGAGTGCCACTGGAAGATGTATTCGGCAAGATGTCACCCTCTAGCACGACGAGAGTACAAGACAAGCAGATTGCGCAACCATGTCCACGCGTTCGATCATCGACCGCCATGGTTTCAAACGATGCTTCCATTGTACGGAGTGTTGGTATCGTTCCACTATACCATGACTGCTGTGATGGGATGGATGCGGAGACCGATTGCGGCGAAGTTCTTTTGGGTAAACCTGTACTTCGTGCTGGGAAGCATAGGGACTTGCATGGCAGTGATGCATGTCTTGTGTACCACCATAGAGTCATCCTTCTACTGGTGGATCGTGGGAAGCTCGCTCTTCGGACTGGGGCTGACGAGCTGGTTCAAAGAGAGATATGTCATGCACTACCTGCTGTTTCATGCATGTCTGAGCTCTGTGGCAATCAATGTTTACTCGTGGTTGTATCTTGGCATCGGCTTCAGAGCTCCCAGCAGCGCTCCCGTCCTAATCTTCACATTTGTTGCCTGGTTGCTGTACAACAGGATCGTCTTGTATCGAGCATGGCAGCACGTCGCAGAAGATTGCAGGCACTATGACGATCTGACGACGAAGTTGTTGCGAGATCCGGACAGCCAGCGATGTATAGAAAAGATCTCAACACTGACCGAGTGTCTGGGTGTAGGGCGACAGTTGTCACAGTACCAGGCCGTGTCTCGCTTCCGACGAGGCTCTCGATTCGGGTATTCCTCCGCTGGGTTCGTAGTGCGAAGTCAAACAGCTGTGGGAGTGCTGATGCGTCTGCTTGATGGGGTGAAGGGTATGCTTGGATGGACTGAGGCAGCACGATCGAGACGGATCCAGTGCTTTGATCAGCTCTACATGCAGGCATTCCTGCTGGACCCGCTGTTTCTAGACAAGGTCAAGAGTCTCGCAGAGAGGGCGGGAGGCTTCTGCTTGGTGGAGGATGAAACGAGCGAAGCCAGGTGCAAGCCGATGCGATGGAGGGACTGCAAGCTAGACGAGGCTTTGAGGGGCAAAGCGCGCTTTGCCAAACTGAAGAGCATCGACAGATGTGTAGAGAAGCTCTCGAGGGCGTATGCTGGGGACGTGTCGAGGCTCGTGGACATCGTAAGGCAGAGCATCATGTTCGAGGATCTGAAGGAGCTGCATGCGTGCTTGGAGATGATTGCTGAAGATCCAGACCTCCAAGTCATCCGAGTCAAGAACAGGTTCGATCGCCGCCACGATGCCCGGCAGACAGGGGGATACAGGGACGTGTGCTTGAACGTGTGCCTGGTGACGAACGAGACGTGGAGGGTCGGGGTGTCGGGGCACGTGTGCGAGCTGCAGCTGGCGCTGTGCGACTACAAGATGCGTGCGACGTCGGGGAAGGGACACAGTCGGTATGTCTCATACAGGAACCTGCGCTGCGAGTAAGAATCAGTACGGTAATGCCAAATCCTTGAACGGATCAATCCTGCAAAACTTATTTATTCTTTTTTCTTGATCGTTTCAAAACGTATTTGGAGGCCAAGTGGCCCCACCACCCCTGTGTTATCGTCATAAATACCCACCCCTTCTAGCCACTACCCCACGCCTTGAATTAGGAGGTGTACATTTCAATAGCCCCTAGAGGCTTCTACCTTCTTTCTGACTACCCTACCTCCTTTTACCCTACAACAATTACTTCTAACATGGTGAGATCTCCTACCCCACCCACCTACAGATCACCTTCGGACACTACCCACCGTCACGATTCGGAACTCACACACTTCCCTGTCCACACCAGACAGTACTACCCCTACTTACCTGAACGTTTTCATACTCTTAGAAGGGGTGGGTTACAGTCGCTCGGTTTTCTCTTGACCCAGCTGCAACTACCGGACAGCAGTACCCCTACCCACAATTATCCAGAGTAGGACCCCTCCATCTGACTTTGCTCTTATTATTCCTTTGTTCTTCAACGACCCCACCCCCCTTGTAGCGCTGCTTACCACCCTTCCTCCAACTCAAAACATTTTCCTTATTAGGACTACCCTCCCTTTGCACCAAAAACCTACAACCCCTCATACCTGCTTCTCATGCTCTTGTTTATGGCTCGCAACTACTTGCTCGCAGGCATCGGCGCCGTGCCTACTGCGCTGGCATGCCACAATCTTCCCTCTTGATAGCCCCTCTCACTATCTCTGTGCTTGCTGCCATATCTCAGTCAGAGCCAACCCCTGCCGACTTCGACTTTGTAGAACTTCAAAACATCTCGCTCCTCGATTTCCCAAGTTTTCCCAAGTTTCGTCGTCTTTGACCTCGTGTTTCGCTTTCGTTCGGTTTGGAGGCCTTTTGGCATACGATTCTCTGTTTTGACAGAATCTGCGTGGTCTGTTGAGTGTGACTTTGGTGCATTCCTCGTTCCTGTTAGGTGGCTGTGCACGTGCAAAACAGCCGATACGACACAATCGGCGCCGCTTTCGACGAATTCGTCGATATCAGTGCTCGTATTCCTTCGATCACTTGCGGAATCGAACTATCTTGACGCCCCTTATTCAACTGCGCCTTTATTTTGTGTTTGATCAGCCACTAGGAACAGATTGAAGTTTGGAACAATTTGTGCACGAAGTTGGCAATGCAGGACATCAATTCGAATTTGGTGTATACCATGATGCATTTGAACTCTAACAACCATGATAATCAGACCCATCCGGATCTGAGAAGGGCAATAAGTGGCCTTATGCTTCAGGATCACGATCTTTCGTCCACAACAGGTTGCAACTCATGGCAGAAATTGCACGAATCGCATCCTGTCTTTGCCTCCAGAGTATCAGACAAGAACAACCTGTTTACAACATATCGAGGAACTGCTGTAGGAAAGTGCGACTGGAAAAGCAACTCCTTGAGTGTATCAGATATGAGATTGATTTTCCCCACGGAGAAGGAGTGTGCGGATTACCACATTGCGTCGCTGAAAGCACACCCTGAACTTTTCATGAAAGGCAAGGAGGATGCCATGATTCCTTCTATGGTCGAGATGCGAATCGAAGGCTCGGATGAGCACTTTATGATCGGCACCCATTGCAAGATTTATTGTGGCCCCACAAACGAAGCAAGGGAAAGGATGATCGAATCACTAACACGCGGTAAATCTGAACAAGAGCAGAAATTTTTGGTGGAGCGTGCATCCCAGGTCGTTAAACTAGTGTACCTCTTCTGTGTGGTAAGTTTTCTTGTAGCATCTGAGCCTTTCCCCTTACTTTAGTTCAGGGTCGAATTTTGTGTAAATTGAGTGTTTCGACGGACACTGGACTCTATCCCCTTGGACATGCAAGATCTTTGGCGATTGCTTGTAAAGCTCTCAGTGAAAAGTGGCAAAGTGTCACATCAGCATCTCAGTCTCATCTGTATGCCAAGAACGAACTAAGGTATGAAACCAATCTTTAGGCACTCGGATTGATCGCTCTTGCAGGAAAGCATTTCTGGAACGTGCCAGGCAACATCAAAGCGAATTGGAGAATCCTTCTGGAGGATCCGATCACGCTCGGAATCAGAGTGAAGCAGCATATTTTCCCGTCGGACTTTTTGTGGCTGCCGTGGGGGAGGGAGTCTTAGATCCCGGCACTCCCAATCGTGTCTTGGAGCGTTTACAGCACGCTTCGTCGAAGGTCCCAAAGGAGCAGGTAAATTTCAGCTACTCGATCGATTTTTGGATTCTTAGCTCTGAACGCTTCTCCCACAGGTCATCCGAATCTCCCTTCAAAAAGTGAGCAACGTTGATACCAAAAAACACAAAGAAGCTGTCGAAGAAGAGGAAATCAAGCTTCGAGTCTTTGTTTCCAATAGCGAAGACGCCAAGGTATGATGTCTTGCCTTTCTGCTGTTGAGGGTCTCATTGAAGCTCTCAGGCTGTACAAGGCTACATTGCCGGCCATGGGAATCAATGTCCAGCTCCCCTGGTCATCCTTTGTCCGCATCTGGCAGTTGCAATGGAGTATGACTCCTCCTGTGTTGACATCACAAATCAAGGCACTGCGGACAGACTTCGGTGAGATATGTCACAATAATCCTTCTGATACTGACTTGTTTACAGTAAACAGGCAAAGACAAGAGCCGTGAAGTTGATGAGGGAACTGCTTATCGAGAACGGTGAAAAGTTGAGTCAGGCCATTCTTCGAGGTCATATGGGTCCAACAGCAACGATTGGGGTGCTGGCTGAATCTATCAAGAAGAGGTGCCAAACAATCAATGACAAGACTGGAGAGCAAGGAATCGTATTCACTTCTGGCAGCAAGGGCAGTACCGCAGCATGCGCTGGTACTGTTTCTTCCGTGGATGGAGACGTAGAGGTGACAGGTGATGGCTTGGATTGCCTCCTGCAGCTAGCAGATCAGGCCCTCAAAGATGCTGCAGCTTCTTCCGCCTCTTCCACGCCCTCTGCAGTCACCATTACGGCTGATGGAAAGAAAGCTGAGAAAGTTCAGTGGGACAGTAAGGAGTTCATCGGTGAGTTTGCAGGACTCCTTCGGTCAGGGAAGAGAAGAGCGCCGCCTTTGACGTCGGAAGATGGTGCGAGCGCAGCAGAAAGGCAGAAGGTCACGCCATCATGAAGTTGCTGTGATGTCCAAGTGGCTGCAAGAGCCTGCGGCCCATCGTGTGATGTAATCTATTTGAGTCTGTGTATTCTAGCTCCTTCAAGGCTTGCTCAGTCCTAAGTTGTTTTTGTCACAGTTTGCATGATAATCCCTGTCACAGTATTTGAATAAGTAAATGGTGAACGTGAATGCCGACTTGCAAGTTGCCGTGGCCCGGCCGCTGCTGTGGGGCCGGCCCCCGCGGCCCGGCCCGGCGGGCGCCGGGGGTGCGGCATCAAATTGAAGTTTCAAACTTTGGTTCAAAACTTTGAAACTTGAAGGGTTCAAAGTTTGAGAGGTGGGGCCGGGGTTGTTGCAGTGCCAGCCATGGCGGGGCGCATGCGCGTGATGCTGCCGACGATGAGGTAACGGAAGAGAGCTCCTCTGACCTCGCGCCTCCTCCTCCTCCTCCTCCCTTGTTGCCTCCCTCCAGTCTCCACCTTCCTCTTGTCCTGCTTCTCTTCTCTTCCACCCTCATGCTCTCTCAACTCGTCGCATCCCGTGTTGCATGTGTTGTATCCCTCTATGGATCTGTACCATCCCCAGCTGTGAAAGTACCAGGCTCTGTCCTCTGCACTCTCCTGGCTGCTAGTTCAAACCATCATCTGCTTCCTATCATGTTTGAGTCGCTCTCCACTGCAATACTCGTGCAGCAGAAACCTTAGTCCTCTGAACGCTGAAGCACGAATCGACCTCATTCATTGCTGCATGTATTTTCCTGTCTGATAGGTTCATGCAGGTCACTCGTCGTAGGGATTAGATGCAACCGTCGGTGGTTCAGTCAAGGGTCACTGCCTGCTCAACCGAAATCCCGAGTAGCGCAGTTCAAAGAGGAGCTTGCCGCCCTGACGGCGAAGGCATACAAGGGAGGAGGCCAGGAGCGCATAGACAAGCAGCATGAGAAGGGGAAATTGACAGCCAGAGAGCGTCTTGAGATCCTGCTGGACGAGGGTTCATTCATCGAGTACGACCAGCTGCTCGAGCACCGTTGCGCGGAATTCGGCATGGAGAAGCAGAAGTACCCTGGAGATTCAGTGGTGACTGGGCAAGGAGCGATCAACGGAAGGCTTGTGTTCGTCTTCAGCCAAGACTTCACCGTGTTGGGAGGAAGCTTGTCCGAGGCCCACTCGTTGAAGATTCAGAAGATCATGGACAAGGCCATGCGAGTGGGTGCACCTGTGATCGGACTGAACGATTCAGGAGGAGCGCGCATCCAGGTAGGAACGAGGAGAGGGAGGAGGAGCAGGAGCAGGAGGATGAGGACGGGGATGAGGATGAGGATGAGACAGAGAGGAAGAGACAGTAGTAATGGAGGAGGAGGAGATGATGACAGGGGTATTCATGCCATCCCATTGCAGGAAGGAGTTGACTCCCTCGGAGGATATGCGGAAATTTTCCAGAGGAATGTGCTGGCGTCAGGCGTCGTTCCCCAGCTCTCAGTGATCATGGGACCATGTGCTGGAGGGGCTGTATACTCTCCTGCGTTGACGGACTTCATCATCATGGTCATTTGCAGGATTCCGAACTGTTCGCAAACGTCTCATGCGTATTTTATCAGGTTGAGAACACTTCGCATCTGTTCATTACTGGTCCTCAGGTCGATGACGATTACTGGCTCAATCCGCTTCTCTCCTCTGTTTCTCTTCCCTCCCTTCCATTCGCTCGTCCCCTCTATCTTGCCTCCGTCACCTGCTACGTCTTAACGTGTGTGTAGGTTGTCAAGACAGTGACTCATGAAGATGTGACAACAGCGGAGCTCGGAGGAGCAGCGGTGCACACTAAGATCTCAGGAGTTGCGCACCTCTCAGCAGAGAACGAGATCGACGCGCTGCAAGCGACCAGGAGACTCTTCAACTTTCTTCCGTTGAACAACAAGGAGCAGGTGATGGAGTAAATTGCCTTGCTGCCTTCCCCTCCTCGTCTCGATACAATATCTCCATGCACTATTTTTAACCTTGCTCGCTAGGCGCCGAGAAGGTACACCCAGGATCGACGAGACAGGCAGGCAAGATGAAAAGGATCAGGAGGAGAGAGCGCGGGAAGGAGAAACAGATGAGTGAGGAAAGAAGAAGAGAAGGAGACAGAGGATGAAGCGTAAGAGGAAAGGATCTCACTTGACCATGTCCCCTGCGCAGGAATTGTCGCTCGGTCGGATTGTCCCCGATGATCCCAACACTCCTTACGACATGCATGAGATCATAAAGAAGGTTATGACTCCTCGCTGTTTGACGTTCACGTTGTGACACTATTCTCGTCAGATTGTTGATGACAACGATTTCTACGAGATCATGCCGGCTTACGCGCAAAACATCATCTGCGGTTTCGGTGAGGATGACGAGGATGTGGGATGGGTGGGAGAGGGAAGGGTCTGAAACGAAGAGATGGGAAAGGGGAAGAGCAAGAGGAAAAGGAAGAGATGATAGAGGAGAAGGTGTATGAGGTGATGACGACCATGACGTTGATGCAAGCTCGCCTTGAGGGAAGAACCGTCGGAGTTGTCGGCAACCAGCCGCTGCATCTTGCAGGCTGCCTGGACATCGACGCCTCAGTCAAAGGTGAATTGAAGTTTTGCTCATCCTTGCTCTCATCCTCTTCATGCAGGCGCTCGCTTCGTGCGGTTCTGCGACTGCTTCAATATCCCCATCCTGACCATGGTAGCACGAGTTTCTCCTCCTCCTCCCCATCACCATCGTCAACACCATCACCATTCCCCCCAACTCCTCCTGAGCTGATGACTTGCAGGTCGATGTGCCTGGATTTCTTCCTGGGCTCTCTCAAGAGCAGGGAGGCATCATCAGGAATGGCGCGAAGCTGCTCTATGCCTACGCGGAGGCGACAGTGCCGAAGCTCACGGTTATCACACGCAAGGCCTATGGTGAGGCAAGACGTTGGATGGAGAGCAGAGGAGAGATGGGAGGGGAAGGAAGGAGTGGAAAGAAGTAGCAGAAGGCGGTGGGAAGATTTGCTGCGCAAGGTTAGCTGTTGCAGGAGAAGGGCAAAGATAGGACGGCAAGAGAAGCGAGCAGTATAGGGAAGCCCTCAAGAAATCAGATTTCCTAGTGGAGCAAGAGATAAAGCAGTTGGCCGCAGAGAAGAGGAGGGCAAGTGACTGGTTCTCAGGTGGAGCGTATGATGTGATGGCATCGAAGCATCTGCGTGGAGACATCAACCTCGCCTGGCCCAACTCAGAGATTGCGGTGATGGGAGCAGCAGGTGAGCGGGGAGGACAAGAGCGAAGGAGGAGGAGGAGGAGGAGGAGGAGGAGGAGAACTGAAGGGGGAGCAGGTGCTGTGAACATCATTTTTCGAGGGTTGGATGGCTCGAGGACGAAGGCGGAGGTGGAGAAGTACGAGAGGCTTTTTGCGAACCCCTTGACCGCAGCGAGGAGAGGATACATCGATGCTGTCATCGAGCCTCACACCACCCGTACAAGATTGTGCATGGAGCTTGACGCGCTGCTCCACAAGCAGGTGGGGGCGTGCTGAGCATGCTAGTGATGTTGTTGTCTTCAGCCCTTTCACTCTTGTCTCACAGCTGTCAAACCCATGGAAGAAGCATGGAAACATCCCTCTCTAGTTGCGACAGCAGGAGGCAAGGAAGCAGTTCAGACGTCAAGAGGCTGCATGCTCGGCTGGCGGCGAGTGACGGATACGATGTGCCGACCTGAACCCCCACAGGAGCAGTCGTCCTGGCAGGGCTTGCGGAGCTCCAGCTCGACCTTGGAGCCTTCGGGCCCGCGAACCTGATCGGGGACGGTCTTGACATCCGTTGCTGGCTGCCCGTCGACGGAGAGCAGAATATCACCCTCCTGTTGTACAAGGAAATCATTCAATCCCTTTTCCGCCTCTCCCTTCCTACTCCCTCTCGTCACCTGGCAGGAGTTCTTCACGTCCCCTCCCTTGTTGTTCATCCACCAGCACGAGCCATGCAGGATGATCTCGGAGATGTAGACCTCTCCGTGGTCCTGCTGGGCGACACGAAGACCCACCCCGCAGATGGTCGGCATAGCAGCGGCGAGCTTCACCGGGCGCTTCAGGCAGTTGGCGTGCTCCTCCTGCAACTTGCGAAACTCCTTCTCCAACGTTGCTTTCTCAGCTGTGAGCAACATGATCTTGTTGTTGAGGTTGTTGATCTGGTCCGGGCATTGCGCATGGTCGTCAGAGACCCTCCGCAGCTCCATCTCGAGCCGCTTGTTCTCCCTCCTGAGCGATTCGATGAGGTCGTCGCAGGGGCTGTGCTTTCTCATCCACTGGGTTCCATGTGAGTCATGCTAGAACGGGAGAGGAAGGAGGTACCAAGTCTCGATCCTCCTCCGTGTTCTTCAGCTGAGTCTTGAGATTCTCGATCGTCACAGCACAAGGCTGATGAACGTGCACAGCCTGAGGACAAGCGCATGTCAATCTTGGCATGTCAAACTTGCTGCCTCAAAGTGTACTGCCCCCTCTCGTCCACCTACAGGCCCATGCCCTTTATACTGCATCCTCGTTCCCATCCTCATCCCCTCATCCAACACCGAGACGAGAGAAAACTGCAGGACCAGCTTCACCTGGTCCAAGTCACTCTCAAGACGGATCAACTGCGACTTCAAGTCGTGGATCTTGCTATCGCAAGGCAGATGATCTTTGATTGCCTTCGGAGTCGATCATTACCCCAACAGACCACGATGACATCTCAAACACAACCTTGTCGAGCTGCTCCTCCAGGGCTTGAACCCTTCGTTGCAGAGTCTGGATATTGAGCTCGCAAGGCTTGTGTTTGTAGATGGCCTACGTGGCGTCATACGAATAAGAGAACTGCTGCCGTTTCCGCCTCCACCTCGTCTCTTTCGGCCTCGACGACGATGATTCTTTGCTTCAGCTCGGAGATCATCTGATAGAAATCTGTTTCCTCCTGCTCGACCGGGTGAGAATCTACCACAAGAGGTCTGCACAGACCCGATAGAAATACTCTTTCTCATCCCTCGCTTTCGCAAACAGGTCCTCCAGCGCAGCGACGAGTTCTTTCAAGAGCATCTCGATGTTGAGCTGCATCTGTCTCACATTCGTCACCACCCTGCATGCATGAAGCGGTCATCGGCATGTCATGATGTCATGGAGTGCTGCCGCCTTACGTGCTGTTGTAATCTTCCTGCGCAAGTAGCATCTTGCTCCAAAGGTCCACAGTGGCATCCACGAGCTCCGCTGTCCTCGTGTCGCTGACCTTAACGGCGATGTCCTTGATGTGAGTGAAGTACTCAAACATCTGCCTCCTGTCTGCGATCCTGGAAGTTGCCATCCTGATGATACTGATATCCTCCAGCGTGCCGTTCTGACGGAAATGAGTTAAAGGACGTGGATGCCGCTATCGCTTCACCTTCTTGCGAATGAGAAGGTTCACAGGACTGTCGGGGACGTCTGTTCCGACCAAGAGATCCACCACGTTGTCAACATCTGCCACAATGCCGTCGACCTGAGGGAGGACATCAGCCGGCTGCCAGGCTTCGAAGGCGACTCTTCAACCTTGAGGATCTCATCGCCGATGGCAAGTTTCCTGCAGTTCATGCCTGGACCGCCAATCATGATGTTGTCGATGACTGTTCCCTGAAAGAACTTTCAGACCATGCCAGGACGATCTACTGCGGGTGAGGAAGCGAGAAAGACGGTGAGAGCAATCCATACCTTGAGCATAAGCCCAACAGTGGCCTTCGTGGCGGCTGAGTTTCGAACGAGAAGAGGGTACTCGTAGCTGAAGGGGTCGGCGGAAGTGACTTTAATAGCAGCAGAGGCATTGGAGTTCGCCGTCTCCAGCAGCCGCAGCAGGGGAGCGAAGTGCGACGCTGCCGCTGGCTGCATCGCCATTGTCAAAACTGCCCGACAGAGATTGTACGGATGGAGAGGGGGTGGGGTTCTTGGAGCTCTTCTCATGATTGGACGGTAGGGTCCCTATCTGACAGGGTATTTTATATTGTAATGAGGGGTAGGGGGTTACCAAGATTGGAAATGGGGGGTGGGGTGATAAATGATCGGAGGGTGAGAGGGTGATGAGGGTAGAACCGAGGAAAACTTTGCTCGATTTGTACCCACCCAATCCAGACTATGACCCCTTGTCAAGAGTTAAATTCTCTTGTTAGTTGGGGGTACTGAGACCACCCCACCAATATATTGCGAGGTCCGTCTCTCCACGAATGTACCTTTTGGGATCACCCCTACCCCCATCTTGAATATCAACTTCAAGGGTACGCCTTATCATCCCTTTGGGACCCAGCTTTTTACTGGAAAAGGGAGGGGTACTAAGGGCTCACAGTACAAGGCCCGGCCTCTCGGAGTCGGGTTCTCAGTGACTCAACTTCTAAGGTTATTGAGCCTCTCGTAGCTCACAATAGTGACAAGTCGCTTGGGTCATTCTTTGACAACCAAGGAGAGCGAGGGGGAGGATGGGAAGTTCGTTGGCGCCCTTCCTCCTCCTATCTTGCTTCCTCCTTTCCCTTCCCCAGACAACTTCGACCTCCTTGACAGAAACTTGCGCCCTCCAAGATCACTGCAGTGATGGGGATAATCCAACTGCAAGGGCGGGATCCGATAAGGATGAATCCCTTGGAAAAGGGCAATCTGCCATGGAAAGGGACAAGATAGAAGAAATTCATGTCTCAGACTCATTTAACAACATATGGAACTACAGCTTTCTCATTGAAAAACATGATGAAGGCAACGAAACCAAAGAAGAGTCTTCCAGTTCCATGTCCAAGGAATCTGACGAAAAGCAACTACCGCAAGGGACATGCAGGAACAAACAGCAGACACCAACGTCAACCGAATCAATGCTCGTGAAAATAGAAATACAACCCATTACCATTCTGTCTGTAGGCACAACCTTGACCGTGTACGGGCTCGTCGGGTCGCAGACGGCGGACACGGAGAGGATGGAGGTCGAGTCGGAGCCCGCGGGGCTGGTCAGGGAGGGGAGGGGGCGGTGGCTACAGGCGCCCGGCACCCTCGCCATCGAGCTGGCGATAGAGGTCAAGGCCGGGGAGGCCGCGGCCATCCGCTTCAGGCTCCGGAACCCCCTCCAGCCCCAGGACGCGCCGCCGGCAGGGATACGCGGGGAGCTAGGAGGAGGCGGGGGAGAGCTACGGGAGCAGAGGCTGGGAGGGCCCGACGGGGGAAGGGGCTGGCGGGGAGCGCTGCAGGTGAGGAGGAGGCCTGGGTTTACGACGAGGAGGATCGGGCAGTCATGTCCGCTGACGTCATCCCACAACACGCTGTGGGTGACGCTAGAGAGCAACGCGGAGCTGGCGGGAGGGACGGAGCTGACCATCTCGGGGCTCGCGGGGGCTCAGGTAGAGGACGGGGCCATCACGGTAGAGTGCAGCGAGCCGGTGCTCGGCAGCAGGCGCGAGGAGGCAGAGACGAGCAGCTGGATGAGGTGGCTGTCAGGCGGGACGGAGGCCAAGGGAAGAGGAGGGTACGAGGCTGGACGGGGAAGGTGGAGGAACGGGTCGCTGAGCTTGACGGTGCTGCCGGACAGAGCGCTGGCAGAGGGGCGGGCGTACGTGCTGGCGATCAACGTCACCAACCCGCCCAGCCCGCAAGCAGCGCCGACGATCGGCATCGAGGCGAGGGGGGAGGTGAGCATCGGGTGGACGGCGATGGAGGCCGGGGGAGCCGGGGAGAGCCGGCTAGGGGTAGCGGGCGGGGGCAGGGCGCTGGAGGTACGACAGGGAGGGCTGGTAGCGGTACGAGCAGGTCAGACCAACCCTTTCGTGGGAGGGCGGAACACGGTGTGGGTGTCGGCGACGAGCAACTGCAGCCTCAGGCCGGGGTCGTCGGTAGCCGTACGGGGGCTGGGGGGGAGGCCGGGAGGGAGAGGCCGAGAGCCCGGGGCGAGGGCGTGGAAGAGGCGGCCTGGGGAGGAGGGCGGGCGGGAGGAGGTCGGGTGGGCTTGGGGCGCGGAGAGGGAGGGCGAGGTCAACCTGACGCTAGCGACGGAGGTCGAGGCGGGGGAGGAGCTGGTGATAGAGCTGGACATGACCAACGCCGAGGAGCAGGACGGGGCGACGGTCGAGGTCGAGGGGGTCGTGTACACGGGGCAGGGGTGGAGCGGTCTAGCGGGGGCGAGGGCGGAGAGCGAGGAGGGCAGCGTGCTGGGAGTAGAGAGAGGAGGAGCTCCGCTGGTCATCCGGCAGGCGAGGCTCCAGCGAGCTACGGCCAGGCAGAGCGACCCGACGGCCGGAGAGGAGAACGAGATCCGCATCATGCTACAGGCCAAGTACACGGTGGTGGCAGGCTCGACCTTGACCGTGTACGGGCTCGTCGGGTCGCAGACGGCGGACACGGAGAGGATGGAGGTCGAGTCGGAGCCCGCGGGGCTGGTCAGGGAGGGGAGGGGGCGGTGGCTACAGGCGCCCGGCACCCTCGCCATCGAGCTGGCGACAGAGGTCAAGGCCGGGGAGGCCGCGGCCATCCGCTTCAGGCTCCGGAACCCCCTCCAGCCCCAGGACGCGCCGCCGGCAGGGATACGCGGGGAGCTAGGAGGAGGCGGGGGAGAGCTACGGGAGCAGAGGCTGGGAGGGCCCGACGGGGGAAGGGGCTGGCGGGGAGCGCTGCAGGTGAGGAGGAGGCCTGGGTTTACGACGAGGAGGATCGGGCAGTCATGTCCTCTGGCGGGGGCGCTCAACAACATCAGCGTGACGCTGGTGGCGAGCACGGAGCTCGAGGGCGACATGGGAGCAGCGATCACGGTGTCAGGGCTGGTCGGGGCGCAGGCAGATAGGCGGTTGCGGGTGTGGACGGTAGACGGTAAGGGCGGAGACTGGGTCCCGAGTAGGAGGAGCTGCAGGCAGGGGGAGGCCGGATGGGGGGAGTGGGAGGAGACGGGGAGGCTACGGATGGCGGTGTGCGCAGGCGAGAGGATAGCGGGGGGAGAAGAGTACGTGGTGCGCTTCACGGTCAGGAACCCCCCGACCGCACAGGAGGCCGTGCGGGCGGAGGTCCGGGCAGGGCTGGAGGACGGGGAGGGGGAGGTCCTGTACGAGGGGGAGGCGATGGAGGCAGGGAGCGGGCCAGCGATGGGGGTAGCCGGGGGAGCGAGGCCGATGATGGTCAGGGAGCCGGCGCTGACGAGGGCGACGATCGAGCAGAGCACGCGGGTGGCGTCGGCAGAGAACGAGCTGACGGTGAGGCTGGAGGGGAACTTCGCGCTGCCGGCAGGCGCCGAGGTCATCATCGCGGGGCTGAGGGGGTCAGGGACGGGGGACAGGGAGGGGATGGCGGTAAGGAGCGAGCCCGGGGGGACGCTGGGAGAGACGGGGCGGTGGGACCAGGAGAGCGGGACGCTTCGAGTACGAGCGAGGGCATCGAGCGAGGGGCCGCTGCGGCTGGCGGTGACCTTCCAGGTACTGCCTTGTCAATCCTCGCGAGTCTGTGAGAAACATCCTTGTCGCTTCCATCTCGCTGTTTGGAGACAAGATTGTACAAGAGCAGCTCGCTGTGACCCCCATAGATTCCTCTCCGATCAACAAGGACGCGTCAGATTATGTGTTTTCAGTGATTCAACCACGCTTGAACGTCACTGCCATGTACCTCTGTCGCAAGGGCTCGAACCGGATGAGCCTTGTGTTTGAACTGAGGTCCAACATCGACCTTACATCAGGGACCAGCATCCGGTTGGGAGGACTGGAGGGGATAGCCTCGAGCAAGGCCCTCAGACTCTCTCCCTTCCCTCAAGGAGCCAACGGAGAGCTTCTATTTGCTTGTCTGTGGTCCCTCTCTCCTGACGGCAAACTAGTCGGCAGGCAGTCGAAGGCACAGACTAAGTGCGCTCAGCTCATCAACGAGAGTTTGATCTTGGACATCGGGGAAGGATCTCTCGTACAAGCAAGTACAACTTACAAGTTCTCTGTCACGTTCTCTTCACCTTCTTGTCCGCCTTCCAAGACTTTAAACATTCAAGTTACAGGAAAGCTGAAAATCCCTCGGTTCAGAACACGTTTGAGAGAGCTCAGCGGCCAGGCAGAGGAGGATGGACCTGCAAATCCCATCCTCCTGCACATTCTTCATGTTCTCGTTATTGTCGCTGGCTTCGCCATAGCGTGCTGGCTCCAGTACAACGAAAAGTTGTTCCTTGAAACGATCAAACAGCTCAAGCTCAAGCTCAAGTCACGATGACCTGACTGTTTGTCTCTGCCTAATTCATTTCATTGAGATAATAATCTGCTTGTAAAGAATTGGCAAGTAAAAGAAGAGTCGGGTTGCGGAGTTGTCTTTCGTAGATTTTTGCTTCCATGCTGGCCTGTTGCTGCCTCTCCTATCCACCAGAAATGCATCAGTACAACATGACAGAAAGACATGCCAGGAGACCAGAGCTTGCTTCCACTTCGTCTCAACGTCCATGATCAATGACCGGAGGTTGTTGAGAGGGTGATCTTCTATCTGCTCCACTTGAAGATCATGGTCAATCGCATCTAGGATCTCGTAGGATTGTCTTCGATCAAAAATCTCCAAGGAACTTTTGATTTCATCGAATTGCGGCAAACTTGAGGCTGACGAAGAGGAAGATCCGTACAAGGATAGTGACTCAACCTTGCTCGGAGAAGTAACGAGCAATTGAGCTCTTTGCCTTAGTTTTACTCTGCAAATTTCATTATTACTGCAATCCAAATAAAAGAATCAAACCTTTTTCCAAGCTTGTCGATGCCAAGCAATTTCAAATCATTGTCTGACATCCTTGAAAGTTCTTGCAATCCAATTCTTCTCAGCTCAAAATTGGGAATGATATCCTGAAATGATCTTAGGGTACATTTTTTGATAGTAAGCAAGAAACCTGCAAACCCAATTCCTGCAGCAATTGTACAACGCAATCAGGCTTTTCGCCGTCCATTCCAGCATCGCATATGTCTTGAGAGCGTGAAGATGCCAGGCTCACGACGCTTTCTCCGTGGACTGAGTTGTTCGTTTCTTTCTCAGGGACACTGATAGCTTGGGTAAGATCGCTACCATCATAGATACCAATGTCCTGCACAGTTGTGTCAAAACAAGACTGAAGCAACAAGGTCTGAATACCTCTCCGTGATTATCATCGGTTGATGTCCATGCTGTCAAGCTGAGAAGCATTGGACAAGCAATCAGTTCTTCGCAAGTGATGACGGCAGCTGCTCCATCATCAGTCTTCAACGAGTTTGATTGAATGTCCATCACACACGAGCACGTGAATGGTTCCATATCAATACAATCATGCTGAGATCTCTTCCCATTCCTGTAGGTCAAGGGACCAGACGGATCCCATAGACTCTTTACATCGTAAAAATTCTTCGCCAGGTCAATCTGCAGTTCGATTTGCGCACTGTCCTTGGATACAATAGTTGGAACACCTTGGTTTCCCACTAGCGAAGACTGCGACTTCATATGATTGTACATCTGAATTGTCTTGTGTACAACTGAGTTGCCATCCAATTCAGCAACAGGGCTTGTGTTCTTGGATGTGTTCTCATCTCCTAGTTGGATATTCAAGGAAGGAACCTCAGGCGGTGCAGCACTTTGACGAAAGTTCTTCAACTGAGGCAGTCGAATCTTACTTTCCATCATGTTAAGCCTTGAGGGGTTGAACAAGTCTAGAGAGTGTGGTCAGGTTCGTAGAATCAGCAACGAATATAATGTATTCTTGACTCTGCCTTTGATGCGTCCCTTATTCTCATTTCTAGAATCTGTCTGTATCAAATTGTCTCCGTCTCCTCACTTTATTCTCTCTCACTGAACCCTGCAATACTCGGTTCTTGCTCTCTCTCTCTCTCTCTTCAAACGTCCTACACTGTACTAGCACCTTCTATCATGTTTCGGTTACCGGGTCTTGTTTCGGTTACCGGGTTGGTGATTGTCCAACAGAGCTTCTCTCGCTCGTCTCTCTCCCACTCTTATCTCTATTCCGATCATACTTGGCTCTCATAGCTATCAGGGCGAATAGCTGCTTCCTCGGGTGGTTACGAGAGATTCTGGGCTGCGAGCGCATGAGCAAGCAATGAGTGTATGGCACACATTGGAGCAAATATGGTCGAAGACCGTTGGAAACTATAAGATGCAATGGATCTACACCTGCTAACATCCTGATTTCGGAGTTGTTACCTCATCAGCGCCTTCTATCTTCTTGCCTCGTCCCTTTCTCTTTCAACGTCGCAACACCATTTCATTCCGACATGTTTGATGCAGGGCTATGAAATTGGGATTCATTCGGATCTACTATGGCCTGGTCCTAGTGTCAGCCTAGGAAAATACCCCCACTGCCCCTGAGTATCGTAAAGTCGTCATAGGGTGGTCGTAGATTTCATACAGAATGGTCCTAGAATGGTATATTTTGAGGTCATCGAATGAATTGTGGAGTGTGTTTTCAAATATAAAATGCAGATATTCAAGAACTATAAAAAATTCTATGGCCGACACCTACAGCACACTCCTCAGTGAGGGATCATAACAGGATCATAGTAAAAGTAGCCGGCCCGTTGCCACTGCCGTGACAACCGCCGGGCCAACTCAGTGACGCCGCCCGGGCCGGGCCAGCAATTACTCGCCATCGATGTCTCTGGGGATCCGACTTGGGTATGCGTCTGATCAAGTTCCTTCGGCGGCGGTCGCTGGCATGGCGCGGGGGAATGGTCCTGCGCGCAGTTAAGTGAAGGTATCAGTTAAGTTTGGGGTACAGCAGTTTTGGTTCTCGCTGTCTTTTCTCTTCTCGCCGTGTCGTACTAGTAAAGGAGGTCACCTGTGGGCTATGAAACAACGGCAGTTGAGATGTGCTCTCACCAACCACCGTGTGCTGTATGAGGTCTGACTGACTGACGGTAAGCTCTCAGTGAAGTGCCCGAGTGGTGCCAGCTGTAGGGCCGGCGGCCCTCGTTGTCCGAGGAATCGGAGACCGGTCTAAAACAGTTTTAGGAGCAAGTCCTGGTGGTCAAACGAGCACCCGAGAGGGAGGTAGCGGAGGATCGGAGAGCATGGCGAGCAACTTCGGGAGCACAGGGAAGTATGACATGCATGCCATCAGCAAAGTAAGACAAGACTTGAGGTCATGCAGCCACCTGACGCCTTGAGGCTGCAGGCAGCTGAGTTCGAGACTTGGTTCGAGCGGAAAGTTGGCGAGTTGTACGGGGAGACAGCACAGTATGAGATCGAAATGGATGCTGTCGAAGACTTGCTCTATGTGGAGGTTGATCAAGGTATAAAGAAGATAGAGGACGAATTGAGAGCATTCACCGAGACGCTCGGTGTGTCCGTAGCTCGCACTCTCTCATTATCTTGCACTTACAATAGCGAAGATCCAGGTTTCGTCCAAGAATTGCGGGTTAGGCTTCAGAAATTTCATGATGATTGTAGAGAGGCTCTTGAAGGTTCTCAGAAATTTCGTGTTGCTCATGACGATGATGACACGTACGACACGTACGAATTTCTAATGGCAACACAGATGAAACTCAAAGTTGGCAAAGACTGATCAATGTGTCAGTGCATAGTGCAGTGCAGGGCTCTGTGTAAATTCGACAATGCAGAGCTTTCAGACGAACGTATGTATTAAACAGCGTTTTGATTTGTGATGATTCATAACTGATTGAGAGCTAAGTTCGTAGAATATGTTCTATTGCCTTGCAAAAAGACTCATAGCTCATGTAGTCAATGTCATTGCTGTCAAGCTCGCTCATGAGGATATTGAATCTGATCTCCTCAAGTTTCACCCCCATGTTCTTGGTAGGAAACAAGTAAGGCAACCAAGTCATTTTGCAAAGACAGTCACTTGTGTACCTGGAGGCCTTTCTTCAGCTCGTCAACGTGTATTCCTCGCTGTCCTGCTGTCCTCGAAACATCGAGCTCACTGAACAGTTTCCGTAGCTTCGTGTCGACATCGGCTCCTGTGGTGTTGAACTGCGCAGAGTCAGGATGGCATTCTGTGAGTAGAGGAGGAAGGAACCCCAATGCGATCAGCAAACAGAGAGCGAAGCTTCTTCCATTCTTCGTAGTTGCGTTGTTTGTCAGCTTTTCTTGCCTGCAGCCACGCTCAATCATGCCGGATTCAGCCATCACTCAACCTGAAACTTGGTGGCTTCTATCAAGGATGCAAATTTGCAAGGAACTAAATGCTGAGGAGCATGGCTAGCTCCTGATCTGCTAGATGATTACACTCACACTACAAATTGACGGCTCGCGTACAAAGCTGCGATTCTTGAATTCAATTTTCTGCGATCCTTTGTGTCTTTGATCCCAATGTTCCTCTTGCAATCTCAGTGCACGTCTTGATGAACAGGCTCACGCTCACACGAAGTCAGTATCCCTCATGGGAAGAAGATCCCTGACGGCATTGCAGTCCAGCTTTCTGAACCTCTCAACGAATCTTTCTGGGATCATCCAGGGGTGAGAGACAGAAGTATAGATGGCTATTACCTAATCCAAGATCCTGTAGAAATTCATGGATTTCCATATCCAATTCATCAATGTCTGTATCCGTTTCTTGCTCAATGTTTCGAAACAGCCGCTCAATCAGCATGTAGGCCTTGGGATCTCGCAATATCCTATCCTCCCACCCTTCCTTGTTCTCAGAGCCAGTCATAGCACCACTTGCTTGCGTACCGTTGGGATAGTTGTGCAGCCTCTTCTGCAGATCAATCGAGCACTTCTTATAGATTTCAAGGACCTGATGAATATGTGTCATGAGGCAGGGGGGGTAAGGATGCTTCTGAACGAGCCTCATCCTTAGGGCGAGACTTCCAATCTTGGGGGAAGTCCCATGACCCAGTGAACTCCAGCTCAGCATCTTTTCTCACCGCCTTGTTATCCGCCAGCTCAATCTTCTTTCAATGATCAGAATTGCAAGACAGTCGGCCAAGAGGAGCTTGCCTCTCCCAGTTTACAGCTCTCATAGTACTCGACATCAACGTATGGTAGCTTCAATCTATTGATGTCCGAAATGACAGCGGTCTTCGATGTCGTCAGAACCTGTCGTGATTCGTTTACGCCGAGCTTGCAAACTTTTCGACTCACGAGGGCTCCCCTCTCATTATGACGAAGATCAGAACCAACACACTTGCATCATGTTGTCATAGAGTGTGCTGAAACTTGGCAGAGATCAAGGCTCACTTTGAGAGACCCGTCGAGAACGAAGATCCCTTGCCATTTGTTCAGCTTGATTCTGCAGTCCTGAAATTCTGCGCATGACTGTTTCATAATCCCTGTACTCTTGAGATGGTTGGAATCGTGCCCACTGATCATAACTCCAGCCTATTCATGCCTGTCACTCCGCTGAAGAGTGTAATCTACCCATGAGGGATTTCCTGCTCGTTCTTGATCACGTTGCATTTATTGGCGGCCATGGACGCCCCGTCATGTACATGCACACCGAAGCAAGTGTTGTCGGATATTCTGATCCATCAGTGTCAGCCTTTAATCTTGCTGCTTCCTTTGTTGTCCCCACCTACAATTTTGCAGCTCAAGTTTGGCTGCACTGCCCCCTATGTTACACCCATCTTCTCCGTTCCTGCCAGCCATCACTCGACGCCAGATGCCTTGAAATGGAATAATCACCTGAAGAAATAGCAATCCAAGAATTCAGCTTCAGAGTTCATCAAGGCAACTCCGAACGAATGTGCATCATGATACTGACAGCTGTCAGTTTCAGGACGTCAATCATGATTGAATGAGCTCATCGGTCCATTACTGAGTCGCCGCTATCTTGGAGTTAGAATTGGCAAACAGAGCTGCTGTTCCTCCGTAGACATCGCAGCTGATCGTCAAACACAATCATCAGCTGAAGCTGCAGCATGTGCTCGGACCACATCACCTTTCCATGGTGACCGAAGCCTCATGAAGCTCCATGGCGTGATCGGTCAGAGTCCCTTCACTCACCGCCAGCGTGAGGTTTTCCAGGTTCACCTGTCCAAAGTCACACTGCTGCGCTATCGCGATGTCGGGATCGAACATGATACCTTACAACTCTCAATGACCAGAGTACAGCAGAAGCGTGAAACGAGTGCGGTGTTGTTTTGATCACCTTGTCTATCAGTCAGATCACTCCCAAGACAACTAAACAACTTACCCATCCCCCGCAATGTAAGATCTTTCATGATGATTGCATTCACGAAATATGTGCCTGGTAGTATCTCGATGCAACCACCTGCCGCAAACAAGACAGCATCATGAGCATTCCTTTCGCTCAACAAACCGAGAGCTTATCATGCCTTCATCGCAGAGGTCAACAGCGATCTGTAGATTTGAGGTCTCCGTGGGAAACCTATCTCAACGCGTCACTGTGGTTTTGCAACGCTCGTTTCATCTCAATGCAGCAGCATCTTCTCGTTAGCTCGCATACTCTTTTCTCATCTCACCGTATCCTCTTGTTTCCCTCCCCTTCCATTTCAGCTCATGCCTGGTCGGCCGACGGTAGCAAACAAGATCTTCCAGGAGATTTTTAATAAGTAGTGAACTGCGGCCTGCCCCGGCTCAGCGCCAGCCGGCCGGTGGGCGGCCCGGCCCGCCGCTTCCGAGTCGCCGGCTTACTGCGCCCGCGACGTTATCACTCAGTGACTGATAAGTATTTTACTTACTACTTACATTACATTACTAAAGTTTACTCATTACAGTCAGACCCTCTCACCAGATGGCGAGTCTCTTGTACTAGCTCCAGGCTCCCCGTGCTGCTCCAGGCTTCGAACCTGGTCCAACATCCACCAGCGAGCTCAGGGTCCCTTGCGATGGCTTGGGAGCGGCACCGATGGTCTTTGCTATTGGCATTCCATAATCGATGTGTATAGGCCGAACCGCATTGACCTCAACCCACTCGTCGGGCTGACAGCACAGCGAGCACATGACGATAGACGAGGCGATCTGAGAGATAAACAAAAGAAGACTGAATACAAAGATTGCCCATGCGCTGCCAGTGGCCATCGAGCAGAAGCTGTCGCTCTTGATCAGATCATAGTCATCTGCAGTGGTCAAAGATGCCGTCAGTGACAAGTAACAAGGTGATATGCGGCTAGCAAGTGCAAATGCAATCAATACAGCAGAAGGCAGGCACAGTACTCACAACATATTATTTTGGATGCAAGGGCGATAGTGAAAGTTACGAACGTTGATGCTAGAAGCAAGAGGATATCACTGATCAGTTGCGCAAGGTGAAGACCTCCCCATAGCTTCGTTCGTTTGCGGCTAGTCACAATTCCAAGACCTGAGAAGACGAGAGTGTAGAGGCCAGGAATGATTCCATATAACCCTAGATACTTCAACCATGCCCTGGCTCCACTTCGATCGTCTTCACAGCTTCTCTCAGAGTAGTAGTCCCATGAAGAGCTGCTGCTGCTGCTGCTGCCGCTGCTGCCGCTGCCGTACGAGCTCGACGTATGCGAATAGGAGCCCCTGTAGTAGCCCGAGTTGTAACCTGTGTTGTAAGACGAGGTCAAGTCTTGATTGTAGTCCGAGCTTGACGATTGGTGTGCTTTGTAGCTGTTGTAGTAGCCCGAGCAGTAGCCTGAATTGTAATTGAGGTTGGTTTTATGTCCGGTGTTGTACCCTGAGTTGAAGCCAGAGTCGTACCCCGAGTTGTATGACAGCCTGTATGTGTTCAACGAGTCTCCCTGCTGGTATCCGCTTTTGTATCCCAAGTTGTATCCTAAGTTGTATCCGCTGTTGTAGTCATAGCTATGACCCGACAAGTCACTCAGGCTGCGTCCTGCGGAGTATCCTGCGGTGTAGGAATACGAAGACATGCTGCTGGTGTATGAGTAGGAGGAGTATCCGTTGTTCACACTGGAGTAAGCGTTATTGTACGAATACCCGTTGTAGCCTTTGTTGTAACCCTTGTTGTACCCATAGTTGTATCCGTCGTTGTAGGTTGACATGAACGTAGTTTCGTATCCCTTATTGTAACCATAGTTGTAGCCCCAGTTGTATCCGCTGTCGTATCCCGAGTTGTATCCAGAATCATCTCCCGAGTTGTATCCCGCATTGGAGGAAGAAGAGCTTCCAGATGCCGAGCTCGATGATGACGAAGACGAGGATTTGCACGCAGGGGGGTTGTAGGTGGCTGGGACCACTCCCGCGATGAGCAAGGCGAGCCCAAGCACCATGCTCACCACGCTCATGTGACCGATTGTCGAGCTGGCACACTTACACATGGTGGATTGACGTGGTAGGCGAGGACAGGACAGGACAGGACAGGACAGGACAGGACAGGACAGGACAGGACAGGACAGGACAGGACAGGACAGGACAGGACAGGTGAGTGCGGTGAGGTGAGATGAGGAGAGGAGACAAAGCGCTTATAGGGTGGGGGACAAAAGAAGCACTAGAGCCCCCGAGCTGGAGCTAACGGTTTTGGCGACGCACAGCTATGATTCGGGTGGGGTGGGGTCATTTGATATACCAGAAGGGGGTAGATGGGAGGAGACGCCGGGGGGTCATATACGCCCAGGCGGAGCAGGTTGAACTCAAAAGAGGTCTTCTCCGATTTACGCCGATGACGGCTACATCCGGTCGAGGCCGCTCATCTATTCCTTGGTCATTGTATTCGATCTTTTAAGCCCGTCATCCGTTAGGGAACAGCGGCCTGGCTGTAAACTTCGGAAGACTTAAAAAATCAAGCCCGGCACCCGGGGGCCCGCCGTTTTTCGGCACGTCTCAGGCCTCAGTGCCGACCGTCGTACTGAGACGCCGCGCCACCGGGTCGGACCCGGCTCCCGGCCTCCGAGGCCCGGAGTCACTGTGGTTTATGGGGTAAAAAGGCCTCGGCGCCTCAGGACTCGCCATGTCGGGGAGGTGGACATGGTCGGTGGCGATGGGAGGGATACTGATAGGGCTGGACGCGATGGTCTGGCTTGTCAGTGGTCTGACTTGCTCATGGACGAGAATGAGCAGCAAGTTCTCGACGATTGTAGCGATCGCCGACCCCCAACTTACCGACAAGACATCCTACTCCTTCGCTTCCCTGCCTCTAGTCTTGCCCATGCTGGAGTTCATCTGCGATGCATACATCGCAAGGTCCTTAATCTGGAGTATGGCTCGACGACTGACTGAGTTGCTGCTAGAGTTGGGTTCATGGTCAGGCGCCTGTCGCCACAAACCATTCTGTTCTTGGGCGATTTGGTGGATGGGGGGTATAGGTACATTTTGGGTGCCAAGTGACAAGGTGCTGACCTTGTTTGCCGCAAGATCCAATGAGGAAGACTTCGAGTCCGGGCTGAAGAGGCTGGAGAGGATCTTGTATCCTCCCAAGGGATCGTCAGTCCTGCATGCGGTGGGGAATCATGACATCGGTTCTCGTTGTACTCCATGTTGTGAAGCGGCTGATTTCTTCAAGGCATCGGCCACAGCTTCTGCGCAGCGTGTGCCGAGAGATTCGAGCGACGAATATCAAGATTTCCGCTCAACTCAGCCTTCCTCTTCGACAACTTCACGGTTGTGCTTCTTCGCTGCCCCGAGCGACTTTAAAGGCGAGGGACCGCAGGTTGTAACCATCGACGCGCCATCGCTGGGGGGCTATGTGGACCCGTTCATCTACAGGACTCTGATGGATCGCCGAGGTCCGCATGTTCTTGACTTCCATCGCTCCTGATCTCTTGTGTAGACAAGACCAGCAAGTTTGTCGCGAGCTTGAGATACAAGGACAGCGAGGCTCGCAATGCTCAACAAGGATATGTTGAATGTGAGGAGGAGGGGGAGGCGAGACAAGCGGAGAGCGCTGTCGGGGGTCGTCTGCAGGGGAAGGCTTGTCGAGCAGGGAAGAGGACGGACATTCATCGGCTCTGCAGCCCTCGTATATTGATGACACACATTCCCCTATGGAGGGCGACGAGCTCTGACTGTGGGAGGATGAGAAATCCCCGCAAGCCTTTCATGAACTTCCTGATAAGATCAACGTTAGAGTGCTTTGTCTTGCTTTAATTGGTTCTTGCAATCTGAGATGTCAGCAGGTACCAGACCATGCTGCATCCGCAAGTTACTAGCATGATCCTCGACAGCGTGCGACCGTCCCTGGTCCTGAGCGGCGATGATCATGATCACTGTACGGTCGCTCATGTGCGGGAGGCCTCTGATGTCCCTCCGACATGCTCGGCCTCTGAGCTTCGAAGCCTCGCCGCTACTTTCTTGGAGTCTGAGAGGAAGGAGGGGATCTTGGCACAAGCCCATCAGATCCTGTCTCAAATCCCCCACAAGTTCCCTCAAGTCCTCTACTTGGAGGTCATGCAGCGAGTCTTGGAGCTTGGCGGAGATTTCGTCCGCCAGGAGCTGAGGCGAGTCGAAGCTTCCCTGGCAGCTGAGGAGGAGGGCGAGCACAGTGAGATGCTTGAGGCGATGAGAAACGCTCTCCTCGCCTTCTTGGTCAGGAGTAGCGATGAACCCACTTGCTCTGCTCGACCCCACAAGTCTGCATCGCCTTCAACTGGCACGCCTGAGCATACGCTGGGTACCGTGTCCTTGCTCCAGGGGAACTACTTTCCTTCCTTCGCGCTCATCCGCGTCGACCAGGTGCGACGCGGCGATGTTGCTGGACCTGACTGAGAAGAGCAGGAAGAGGCAGCTCGGCATGTGGAAACCTGCTTGCGGTCTAACGGGGGCGAGCACAGCGAGGACGGGGGAGGAGAAGCTGGTTCTGTCTTCGAGTACAGGTCTGTTCGTCCTCTCCCATTCGGCTCTCGTTCTGAGCTCTTGCTCAGCGTCTGCTGGCTGCCTCCACAGCTTCTTCTCTATGTCCTGTATGGCATGCTTGCCGCGTGCTGGTCGGCCGCGATCCTGAGAGAGGAGATGGTGAAGGGGAGCGAGGAGACGGGGAAGGAAAAGAGCCTTCGCTTGTTCGCTGTGATACTTCAGTGGTGCAAGCGAAGCGCGGCGTCCGTGCTGTTTCTTCTCTTCACGTTCCTTACGTGGAATTTCATTTCCTTCTCCTTCGCCGTCGCTTTCTGAATGTCGGAGGAGGACGCAGCTTCTGCCTTCGACTTACTTCCTGCTTGTCTGTAATGGCAGCCCTTAACGGGATCAGCACGTGACTTGCCCAGTCATGCCGCGGATTCTTGACTTTCCGTTCACTTTCTTTGACCTCGCTCTTCTCTTATTCTGGTTCTTGTTCTTCTTGTTCTTGACTCATTTGATCTCTTTCTCTCTGCAATCTCCCTTGATCTCTCTCATGCTCCTTGTCTGACTCGAAATTATTTGATCTCGACATATCAACAAATCATTTTCTCCTGAGCTCCTTCACACCCATGGAGTCCATCCCTCGTACATCTCGCAGAGCTTGTCAATGTTTGTTGCTTCTTTGATGGTCATTTCAACCTGCCATTTCACCTTCACAACCTTCACACATCGTCGCACATCACTCGCCTGCTCCTGCACCGTCAACTTGGTGTTGCCGTCGTTCTGCTTGTCTCGTCCGTCCAGTTTCTGCCTCACCCTCTTGAGCACCGAGACAGCATGCGCGTTGCGCTGCCTCATCGTCAGAGCCTTTGACGCTTCTCTCTCCTCTCCTCCTCACCTGCTCTTGCATCTGCTGCTCCTCTCCCTCTCCCTCCTCTTCCATCTCCCTCCTCCCTCTCTCCTTGTCGGGAGACGCAGGCACGTACGCGGACTGGGAGAGTCTCAAAGGAAGCAGAGGCTAACGGAGTCTGACCTGATCGTGCGACTCGTCTTCGTGCTGATCCGACTGCACTCGCTCGAGAGCCAACTAACATAAGCGTGAGACGAGGTCGGAAGAGGAGAACAGGACGAGTGGAGGAGAGAGGACAGGACAAGAACAAGGGAGGAGAGAACAAGAGAAGAAGACTAGCAATGGAAGAGGGGACGAGGGATTAGAGATAAGGAGAGAGTACGAGATCAGGAGCAGAAAGGAAATATTGAAAGAGGGATGAGACGAGTCGCTCCTCTGACTCACTTGAGCAAGAGCTTGGAGCAGCGAGCGGTACATCGCCATCTTTGTCATGACCTGCGCATGACCCATCACTCTCCCCGCACCCTCGTCTCCTCGCCTGCAGACCTCCGATGTCAGTCGCTGTATGCCCCTCGCCACGTTGGTGTCGATCAGCACGTCGTCGCGCTCGTGGCCTGCCAGCTTGCCGTCTCCTTTCCTCAGGTGCGCGTTAAGTCGCGGCTCCGTGATGGAGGAGGAGACTAGCTGGAGGAGGGACGCAAGGTCAGCTCCTCCCTGCTTCAGCACCTGCTGCTCCGTCTGCAGCTGCAGTGCGATGCTGTGAATCTCGTGCAGCGACTCGGCCGAGACGGTGATCTTGACCACTGTGTCCAGCAGCGCTGCGATCTCCCCCACCAGCTGCTCCTCGGACACCAGAAGATCCTTGACAGGAGAGATCTGCATGGTGCTGTCAATGCTGATCCCTCCCCTATCCCCTGCTTCTGCTTCTGCTTCTGCTTCTGCTGCTGCTGCTGCTTCTGCTGCTGCTGCTGCTGCTTCTGCTGCTTCTGCTGCTGCTGCTGCTGCTGCTGCTACTTCTCCTTACTCACCTTGTCCGGCAGCGAGCGAAGAAACTCGATCGCTTTCGCACCGAAGGAGCAGTTCGCGTTGCGGCTGTCGTTGATAGCGCATTGCAGCCGTTGGATGAGCGCGTTCAGCGCCAGTCGCTCCCTCGTAGCCTGGGTTGACGTCAGGGAGCCCAGCAGGCAGGCGGTACCTCCTCCTCTCACATGTTGCAGCACGGCTTCTGCCATGGACCTTTCATGGTGGTGGGCAAGCGCCGTCTCCCTGCCAGGAGGGTCACTGGCTTCCAGCATAGCGGCGGCTTCTACCTCGCCCTCTCCATCGCGTGCAGGACGTTGAGATTTGCTGCGTCCACCCTGATCGCCAGCTCGCCATGCTGTCTGCTCCGCTCCAAGTTGCTGACACCCTGGCGTGGGGAGGAGGGTCAGCGATTCGAAGCAGAGCGAGGAAGATGAGGAAGGGCAATCGGGAAGCGTGAGGGAGAGAGAGAGGAGGAAAGGGAGGGGGAGAGAACGCAGGAGAGGAAAGAGAGGGAGAGAAGGAAAGTAGAAGAGCAGCATGATATCATTGACATGGAAGTGAAGGGTCTAGGAGGATCGAGACAACTGGAGGACCTGGGCAAGGGAGATGAAGCTTTCAATCTTTGACTTGATCGCGTCGAAGTGGGACCGCCTCTCCTTGAACCTCCCCTCTATCATCGCCGTCAATTTATCTCGCTCTCCCTTCCCTCGTTTCTTGTTGCGCTCTTTAGTCTCAGATCTTCTCCCCCTGCTCACGATCTCGTCTTCCAGCCTCTTCAGCTCTGTCTGCTTCTGTGCGAAGATGGTAAAGGCGACCTGGAAGACAATCAGAGCCGAAAGGCGCTCACGAGAGGTGGGGAAGACGATCAGAAAGCGGGAAGGTGTGAGAGGAGGAGGATGAGTAAGCACAGGAAGACGAGAAGAGGAATGAGAACTTGGGAGAGAGGAGCAGTATGACGAAAGGGACGAGGGCGGAGTCAGAGGAGGATGTTGGGGAGTCAAGAGGAGGCGCGACCTGACAAGTTTCCAGATTCTTGAGGAGGGAGTTTACGAGAGTTCGCCTGACTGCCCCAGAGCCCCTTCCCCCTCCATCCCCCGCCTGATGGTTCACGTCGACGGGGTACAAGACATCCTCGTGCACCCAGTTGAGATGGAAGAGGTTTGCCTCCAGCATCTTCATCTTCGCCTCGCAGTGCTGCAGGAACTTCTGCTGCTCCTTGTGCACTTGATGACTCCTCTTCAGCTTCATTGCCACGTCGCAGTAGTCCCTCACCCGCTGTTCCAGGTCCCTCAGCCTCGCGTCCCCTCGGCGGTCCTCCGCGTACTTAGCGAGAGCTTGTCCAAGGCGAGGAGGGGGAAGATGCTGTGTGCTCGACCTGTCGCTCTTGATGGCCCAGACTCCTGCCTTTCCTCCTCCTCTTCGCCCATCGCCCTCGTCCATCGTCTGTCCCGCCAGCACAGCAGGTGGTACGCTCCTCTCCAACGCCAGCCGGCCAGCCCTCACCAGCAGCGGCGCGAAACCCTTCCTTATCAAGTCGTGCGCGAGAATATCGATGCGAGCACGGAGGGAGGGGACGAGGGAGAAGGCGACAGGAGGGGAGGGGCATCGGATGAAGAGAGACAACGCCGCGTGCATCATCTCGAGCTTGCCCACGAAGAAAGTTCCCAGCACGTTCGCCTCGAGCTCGAGGTCGTTGGGTGGCAGAGATCTCTGCTCGAACAACTCTACAAGGCTGTCAAAAATACGGTCGAAGCCCGCAAAGAGAGGTCTGCTGGTAGCCGGGGCTGCTGCTGGGGGTTGGTGATCGGCAGGATGAAATTTGCTGATCCTTTCATAGTCAACTTGGAGCCGCTTCAACCTCGAGACGATCTGGGACAGCAATCAATGTTGCTCCTCTCCCTCCTCTCCTCACCTCTTGTTTGCGAGCAGCCACAGTCTCTGCAGAAGGAGGGTTGCTGTCCCCCCACTGCTCTCCGCACTCCACACTGTCGAGCGCTTGTCCGAGAGTTCGCGCCTGTACAATGTCACTCACTGAAACCAGAGGAGGAGGAGGAGGAGGAGGAGGAGGAGGAGGAGGAGGAGGAGGAGGAGGAGGAGGAGAGCAAGGGCACCTGGCTGGCGAGTGAGTGTAGGGAGTGGATGAGGGCGAGGCTTTCGGGATCCGACAGGAGGACTCCGATGCTGTCGGGCAGCACTGACATGTTGAGCTCGTTAACAAAGTCCTTCATCCTCATGCTTATTCTCTCGCACGCCTCGAACCCAGCTATCCCCGAGCTGAGGCCGAGCTGATCCCCTCCTCCCGTGCCGCTCACAGGCGCTCCTTTCTTCCCTTTGCTGGCTGACGTGGCAGCGTTGGTTATGCTGAGCATCTCGTGGAGGACGAGGAGGCATCGCTGCGAGCAGAAGATCGTCCTGTCCAGCAGATCTCCTCCTCCTCCAGCTCCTCCTCCTTCGTTCAAGACGCTTGTTTGCTTCTGCCACAATTGGAAGAGATCTCCCATCCTGTTGCTGCCGTAGACCCACTGCTCGGAGAGGATCACGAACTCCTCTTCGCGCTGGAGGAGGCGATCAGAGCGGAGAGGAGCGAGGGTCAGGAGCTGCCCGAGGGTGCTGCAGAGCTGCAAGGGAAGGTCAGCACAAGCACACGACCCTCTTGTCGACTCACATAGACGGAGCAGGCGGAGAGGGAGAGGGAGGCAAAGTCCGCGCTCCTCCAGAGGGCGTTCCGAGCGGAGGTGATAAGGTGCTCGAGCATGCTCAGGTCCTCTGCAAGGGCGAGGGAGCTCTTGACTTCGCTGTAGCTCCTGTGGGCATGAGACAGGTCCTTCTCCATCTGCGCCTTGATCTGCAGGCACTCCGACCGCTGCTGCTCCATCCGCTCCTCGCTATCTGAGAAGCGAGCGAGGAGCATCGAGATGGTCCCTGGGCTCGGATCCTCCAGAGCCTTCGCTAGCCCATCCCACCACTCGAACAGCCGGCTGAACTTGGCGTACTCGGCCGGCAGGTGCGCGATCCTCTGCTTGTAGCTCTTCAGCGGCATCAGGAGGTTCCCGCAGCTCTCAGCGAGCTTGCGCATCGCAGCCCTCGCCTGCTCCTGCGAGGTCTCCAGAGAGCGCCAGAGCGCCTGCTCTCCCCCTCCCAGCTGAGAGCCTTGCTGCTCCATGACGAAGAGGGAGGAGTACTCCTGGAACGTGACGTCGATCGCCTCTGCCAGGGTGACGACGGAGGTTTCGATCGCATCGAACTGGCTCGTCCTCAACGTGCTGATGCAGCTCTCCTGCTTCGCAAACTCTTCTGCGCAGTGATTCATGCTCTCCTGCACCTTCTGCTTCGTCCTCTCCCACTGAGCCTCCACCTTGGGTTGAACTTCACTGCAGGCGTTCACCTTCTCCTGCGCCTCCCGCAGATCCGCCTCCACCCTCCGCAGCTCCTCCGAGCTCGCTCGCAGCTTGTTCTCCATCTCCTCCACCTCTACTGACACGGCTGACTCCGACGTCCTGATGCGGACGATCTCCCCCATGGCCTGCTGCAGCGCTCCCAGCGCGCCATGCCCGACCTTAAGGTTCTCCGCCAGAGGAACTCTCATCTCCTCCACTCTGGAGGCGAACAGGGAGAGAGACACGTGGAGCTCGACGCCCTTCGACGCCTCCTCTCCGTGCTTCTGCGCAGTCCAGTCCACCAGAGGATCGTACACGAAGGCCTCTAGGAGGGTCAGCAGCGCCTCTTTGTTCCTCCTCAGCACCCTCAGAGCTTTCTCGCAGGCCACTCGGAACGGGCCCTCGACGCCGGTGAAGCCCATCCCCGACTGAAGTGTGTGCGTCATGCGGAAGGGGACGAGCTCGGGAACCTGAGGAGAAGGAGAGGATCAGGAGAAGTGCGAGGGAGAGTACAGAGGCTGAGGAGAGATTTGACTTGGAGGAACTTTGAGCCATAGTGACGAAGAACACACACAGATGGACGGAAGGTCAGGAAAAGGAAGAGGGAGTGGAGTACTAAAGGTCAAAAACAGGAAGTTGAAGACAGCAACTGAAGACAACATCGCAACAACATTTGTTGTCTCTCACACAACATCACCTTCAGTTTGGATCCTTTCTCGAAGCAGACATTCCAATCGATGTGCACTACCTCCCCTGACTCGAAGTCCATCAGGATGTTGTCGAGGTGTCGATCTCCCAGGCCGATCACGTAGCCCACCATGCTCATCACCGCCATGCTCCTCGCGTGCATGTTCGTCTTGCTCCAGAGCTCTGAGGGCGACAGGCAAGAGCACCAGATCTCCCGGGAGATGAGGTCGCGGGGGGTCTCGGAGACGAGGAGGGAGAAGACTTGCTTCAGCACCTCGTGCGGCCATTCCTTCCTTGACGTTACCCGCGTGATCCCCTGCTCCTTGAGCGCTGGGATGATCTTGTCGTAGAACATGTCGCTCGGTCTTGCTGAGCTCCCGCTCTTCTCCCCCGCCTGCGCCATCTGCCGCGTCTGCCAGGCCTTGTAGATGCCGAAGAGCGGGATGGTCCCGTCCGCCCACTGGATGAGGCCCGACCGGGGCCCGACGGGGATGACGGCGTAGTGCCGCGCTCGGAGGCAACGAGCATGGGACGCGCGATCCTGTCGCATGAAATGATTGACGATGCTGAGGAACTGCATCATCCGCTCGTCGAGGTGCAGGTCCTCCCGTCCCTTGAGCAGGTACCTCCTCGAGATGCCGTCAGACCCGATGATCGCGATCTTCTTCGGCTTCGTCTTGGTCAGCAGGATGTCGACCTGGTCGTCGAAGGAGGCGATCGTCACCCTCTTGCTGTCCTCCTCCTCGTCCTCCGCGTCGATCCCCGGCATGGGGATGTCCGTCGCTCGAAGTTGTCCGAGGTAAGGGGAGATGGAGTTGAGGGACAGCTTCGTCCTTCGGAGCTGCACAGTGAGAGAGCGCATCAGAGCACGCATCGGCTCCCATGCCGCCTCTGCCTCGAAGATGTCGGCAGGGTTGCGGAAGCTGGCGAGCGCGTCGGTGAAGGAGGATGAAAATGAGGACACGAAGTTCTTGTCGTGATCAGACGACTGCTCGCCTGCAAAGACCTTCTTGAGCGGCTCTAGGGCCATCCTGACCGGCTTCGTTATGGCGTCGTACTTCTCCCTCAAGATTCTCCTCCTGTCCCCGTCGCTCAGCGTGGAGTTGTCGCGGATGCGACTCGTCTCCTCGCGCATCAGCCTCAGCCCGCTCGAGACCTTGGGGTTCAGCTCCTGCAGCGAGCTGAAGAACAAGTCCTCCTTGAGAATCGAGCAGCGCGACAGCTCCCCGATGAGGCCCTGCACACCCCTGACGAGCTCTGGTCGAGACTCCCGAAGGGCCTCAAGGATAGAGGAGAGCTGCCTGCTCGAAGGGTTCTCCACGTGCCCGACGACGGTGGGATAGATGATGGCGTGCGGGAGCTCCTTTCCTATCTTGGTGATCAGCAGCCTCACGTTCTGCCTCACCGACGGCTCCGCGTGCCCCAGCCGGGCGAACAGCTGGGGGATGATCTTCCTCCATGGCCTGGTGGGCGTGTGCTGGACGCCTTCGAAGAAGATATCGCACATCTCGGAGCCGTACTTGACGAGCAGGCGGAGCAGCCGCAGGGTAGCGGTGATGTCGTACGACTCCTTCCAAGAGACCTCGGCGATGTCGACCTCGGACGTGAAGGAGGACGGCGAGAGGTCGTCCTCGCTCAGCCGCAGGTACTCGAAGTAGGAGGAGACAGAGGAGCGGTAGAGGCAGAGGATCCTCCTCCTGTACTGCCTCCAAACATCCTCAAGCTTCCATATGCACTCCTCTGACGCCCAGGGGCAGAGCTGCTCACAGAGCATCCGAATCTCATGCCCGTGGACGTTGGGGTCCGGCTCGAGCTTCTCTTCCTCTCCTCCTGACATGAGCCAGGCATCGCAGATGCTCGAGGAGATCTCTCGGAGGATCGACTCGCTCATGCTGCCCTCCCCCCGCCCTCGTCGTCCGCCATCAGGATCGACAAGATCTGCTCCTGTATCCTCTCTCGCACCACAAGGCGATCGGCGCCCGAGCCCTTAGAGATGGCCTCTATGTAGTGTCGCCCCTGGCGGTAGCACCAGGAGCCATAGTCTGCCCAGCTCTTGGCGTGCTTCCTGTGCATGGCGGTGCACTTGAAGAGCAGGTAGCCTCCGAGAAAGTCCTTGTGGGGAGAGTTCTGCTCCCAAGACCCGAAGCTCAGCTCGCTAGCCCAGCTCTGCATCTCGTCGCTCATGCCGAAGTCGAAGATCTGACGGAACAGGCGGTTAACGTCCAGCTGCTCGCTGTCAAACGACTTGTCAAGAATCATCATCGCGACTTTCCTCAGCGTCTTCACGCTCAGGTCCACACAGCTGAGGGCGTCTTCCCCTCCTCCTGAGCTCGCGGAGAGCAGCGGGAGCTTCTGCAAGTCGAACCACAGGGACCACAACCTCTCCAGCCCCTCCGACGCGTTGCGGCGAGCAAGCGACAAGCTCGCGTATTCATAGCGAGTCTGCATCCTGTGAAGATCACTGAGCTGAGAACTGTCGCACCGGCTGAGGAGATTCTCGGCGTAAGTGAGGTTCCGCTGCTTGCGAGCAATCTTGGCGACTTTGAGGCGGAGGGAGGGGGTGAAGGAGGAGGGAGACTGCTGCGGCTGCATCACTTCAAGGACGCTGAGCAGCCGATGCCAGAGAGGAAGAGAATGTAAGGACGGGTCGCACTTGAAGGCTGCAGAAGAGAACAAGTGTGCATCGGAAACCTCGAGGAACTTGTCAGGAAGTACCACGTCAGCGGAGGAGGAGGAGGAGGAGGAGGCGTCCCGGCTGCCTGGAGAGTTCGGGCTCTCTACCATCCTTCGCACGTGTGCAATGATGGAGAGCAGGACGAGAGGCTCCTCTGCCTGAGAGAACTCGCATCCTCCATCGATCCTGAGGATGTTGAGGGGCTCCACCAGGATGTCGTTGGCCTGCGCGAGGAGCTTGAGGGAGGCAGCCGCCTGCTGGTTTCGAGCGCACACAATGCTGCGCAGGAGGAGGAGCTTGGACGCGTACACACTGTCCTGCAGGCTTCTGCTGCACTGGCCGTTTGCGTCGGGGACGAGCATGAGCCGTGTTCGCGCCTGTGACACGTTGCCAACGTCCAGCTCGAGCTGAGCTTCCGTCGCCTGCGACTCGAAGCTTCCTTGTATGGCAGAGAGCTGAGGGTAGAGACCGTCTGTGTGACTTGAGCATGAGTTGAACATCTCGCGGAAACGTGCCTGCCAGGATCGCCAGGCCTTCACATCCCCGACTTCTAGGCAGCATGCCATGGCGTTGCGGAAGATGAACGAGATGGTTTCAGGGTTCGAGGAGGAGGAGGAGAGACACTCGCTGTACATCTCCTGCGCTTCTTCGTAGTGACCTCTTGTCTGCAGGGACAGAGCATGGACCCAGCCGTACGTGTCTCGCGACAAGTTGGCTCCCTTCAACGAGGAGAACTTGATCCAGGCAGCGAACCCCTCAAGGCCGTCAGCATCGCCCACGTTACTCAGAGCTGAGCAGACGGTCATGGTGAGCGCGTCGATCTCGCTCCTCATCTTCTTCACTTCCTCCCGGCTGGCAGGGTTGGCCTGACTCGAAAGCTTCGCAAAGGCCTTGGACGCCTCCGGCAGGCGCTTCAGCGACTGCTCGAGGACGTGGTGAGGAGAAGACGCGATGCTGCTCGCTCGGCTCATCGCCTTTCTCAGTCGCGAGAACCAGTCCTCGCACACCTTGCGGTTCCCCCGGAAGAACTTTGCGCTCCCTGCGCTGCTCTGCGGCAGGTTCACGCTCCCCTCGTACGCGTTGAAGATCTGTCTCTCCAGGTGGCCGAGCAGGTGCAGCAGCATGCGGATCCCCTTATGCCAGTTGGGCTGCTGCCCGGGAGCGACTTCATCTCGTCGCGCCTCCATCTCAGCTCGCGTGCAGGCCTCCAGCAGCATGTGCTCTAACGCCTCGAATGTCTGCACGGGCCCGCCGAAGGAGGATCGAAGCTTGCTTCTTACCAGCAGCCTGCTCGCCTCCATCAACGCCCAGAGTTCGCAACGATGCAGCTCGTCGCCTGTTGCTCCGAAGAAGGCGTAGAAGGCGTTGAAGGCGTCGGAACCTGCTTGCTGCCTGTCTTTCGTTTCCTCGCCCACACCCAAGGCCTTAGAGACAGCCTCGCTGACGGCATAGATGCGCGGGAGGAGAGGAGAAAGATCCAAGTGCGATCGCTGCGACACGAAGGAAATGTACCGCTGGAAGTCGGCTGACCTCATCGGAACTGCTGGGTTGCAAGCGAGTGCCCGCTGCCAGGGCTGCACGGCAATCAGAGGGTTGGAGAGCTGACTGAGCAGGCGGACGGGAAAGAGGAGGACAAGGTGAGAAATGTGCCCCAGGCAGCTGGAGAACGCTCTCACGACCTTGCTCTCCTTGTCCGACAATCGAGACATGGCCTCTCTCACAAGCACAAGCGACCACAGCGGCGCTCGCTCCCTCGCAGCGAGCGCCGCTGCGCACACAGTCCTGGCAGAGCTGAGCCGCACCATGGCGTCGGGATCGCGGGCGAGCTTACCCGCAAGGGTACACATCCTCTCTAGAGTGTGAGGAGTTAATCGAATAGTTAGGTGAGAACCGCGGGGGGCCTGACCATCGGCTGAAGCAACGCAGATGAGGTAGAGAGACTGAACGATAGAGAGCTTGAGCGACTGAGAGGCGTCAGGACGATACAGGATGCAGATGACTTCAACGGAATGCCGGATCAGAGACCTCGCCATCTCCGTCTCCCTTGTCCTCCCCAGCAGGTGGTCCAGCAGGTGGATGAAGACCGACTGGGCCCTGGAAGCTGCATGGAAGCCGCTGGAAAGACCCTGCAAGCTCGTGGCACATACGGTGATAGAGGAGACGAGCTGCTCTTGAACCACCAGGTCCAGATCTCCCTGCAGCTCCTTCATGGACTGCAGCAGGATACCCCCCAGGAAGACGACGACCATCTCCGACTCTCGCAGCTTGTCCACAAGCGCATCTTCCTCTTTCTTCGAGACTGTCTCCATCTGTCGCTCCAGCTTCTCGTTCCCATCCCGTAGCTGCCTGCACGCATCTTCCAGCTCCTGCAGGTACATCCCAATGATTGATGAGCTGGACCGTTGATTCCAGCATTCAGACTTGTCGGAGGAGAAAGGTTCGGAACACTGCCAGATGCCAAAGTACAGCTGCCTCACGATCACGGCAAGGTGCCTGCTCGCCTTGAGCCGCAGCCGTGCCGTCACCGAAGCAGGATTCAGAAGCAAGACTGCGATCCTGCTCATGGCCGCCGATGAGAGCTCAGTGCCAACGAGCAGGGGTGATCCCTGTATCTGCGCAGCTCGGCTGCTGCTGAGCTTCAGACCCCTCATGTACTGCTCGAGGCCCAGGGCGTTGACAAGATGGAGAAGGACGGTCACGGCAGCTTCTTCGTTGTGGTTTGCGCAGTACCCGATGAAGGTCTCGAGGTTCTTGTAGATCGGGTCCGCCATGGCCGACTCACATTGCACCAGATTGATCAGCAGCCTCACAATGCTCTGAGAGTTTCCCAGGTAGCAATCGACCCGCCAGGACAAGTTTGGGTCATCCAGCAGGAAAGAAGACGACAGCCTGCCCGTCATGCTCGACATGCCCTCGATGCAAGCGAGGAATCGCCGCACAAAGTTTTCACCCTGCCCAGCATGTCAGCAACCTGGGCAGTAAGAGGATCCAATCGTACCTGGTTCTTGACAAACTTCTTCCCCGAGCAACTCAGGACCCCAACGAAGCAAGCCGCGAGCCGCGAGATCTCTGAAAGAGCACTCGCTGCCTCCTGGCTCGTCCACCTCTGCGCCCCCTGCACCTCGGGCAACTTTGTGCGAACGACTTGGTCCAGGGCCTCCAAGTCATCGACAAGCTTGGAAAGCAAGGCCTCAGCGAAGTCAAGATGCTCACTCCAGTGCTCTTCGAAGTTCGCAAACGTCGTCGTGATCTGCTGCCTCGCCCTCTCCGGCACGATTGGATCAAGACTCCACCCGACCAGGAGGTCGATAATGTCCTTGAAGACGCCAGAGACGACGAGAGGGAACAGACGAGCGATCTGCTGCAGGTTGACGACGATGGGGATCACCATCTGGTAGTGTTCGACAGTCTCCAGGAGGTTGACAAGCTCCTTCACGACCTCCACGGCGAACGGCTTCACTGCGTCCTGCTGACCCAGGCGCATCGTCTGAGAGATGACGGCGAGCAGAACAGAGAGCATGACAGGATCCTGCGTTGCCTGTTTGTTCACGCCAGCACACGCCCACGCGAAAAAGTCTTGAGCTTCTGACCCCAGGGAAGCTCCGATTCTTGCAAGGACCAGCGTGGTCCGCTGCGAAATCTCAGCATCCGAGTCCATGAGAGCTTCGCCCAAGACAGGGAGGAGGGTGCTGACGAGGTGATCATGAATGAACCTCGATGCCTCGTCTGTGCTGTTCGACCAACTCGGTGCCTCCGCCCATCCCAACGTGACAGCGGCAGCGCTGATCTCAGAGTCGTTCTTCCCGCTCAACAGCAGGGCGCTCAACTCATCGAGAGCTGCCAACCGCTCCTGCTGATCCTTCGACCTGGTTCGTATGGTTCTCAGCAGGACGTTGGCTGTGGATCGAAGGCCGGTGGGCAAGAGAGTCTTGGGCGGCATTTGAGCGAAGTCACTATCAGCAACCAAGGGAGCAGGTCTAGGCCATCTCAACCAGCCCAGGGAAGGCAGACACCTACTTGAGGAAGCAGACGACCGGCATCAGCAGGCAGGAGGAGGAGGAGAGGCGCGAGGCTTCAGCCGACATATCGAGGCGAAGAACACCTGCAGCCCCGACGCCGCCCTCCCACCATTCCGTCCTTGTCTGCATTTTTTGCTCGTGGGATGTAACTGTTTTTATAACGGAGTTACACCATGAGAACGGAAACATAACGGAAGGGAAGAGCCGAGCAGAATTCTGAGCAGAATGCAGGAGATAGCGAACAAGTGAAGGAGGGGTGCGAGGAGCAAGAGGCAGCAAGACAGTCAGTGAGGGCAAGTGAGAGTGAGTGAGTGAGTGAGAGACAACGCGAGCCAACGAGTTGTTGAGTGTTCGTTGGTGATGATGAAGCATCCCAAGGCCGTGGTTTTTGCAGTGGTGACAGTTGCCGCTGCATACTTGCTCTTTAGCATGTACTCGAGGAGAAGCTCCACACAGACAAGAGCAGACAGGGAGAAGCCAACAATTGCATCTTTCATCCTGATCGTCCATGTGACATTTTCCAGCAAGAAAGTGAAGGAGGACTTCAAGGTATTGTACGCCGAGGAGGCTGAGTTCTGCAGGAAGAGCGAGGCAAACACTCTGAGTTATGAGCTTGCATTATCAGATCGGGACGAACTTGCGGGTGTTATCATTGAGCGCTTCAGAAGCAAGGACGACTACCTCTCTCACAAAGAGTCCTCCGTTTTCAAGAGGTATCGAGAGAAGTTGAAGAAGTTGGAGGAGAGCGGCGACGTGAAGCTGAATGGTCAGAGTTACTATCAATCCAACTTGGGATATTTTTGAGGATCCTAGCATGCACATACTTCACATAAAGAATAAGAGAAGGAGGGAGGTCAGGGTGTCGCTGAGCGAGAGTGAACTTGTCGGGGTCTTGACCAGGAGTTCTGAGTGGTAAGGGTGAGGAGACATGGAGACGAGGGGCACATGCAGCACCTGGTAGGTAAACTTGTCTGTGTAACAGTCCTGTACGTACATGTCATCGCCCCCGACCGCCTTGCTGCTCTGAGACCAGACTTACCGCGTTGCCACGAAAGAGCTCTCCTGACTCGGAGAACGGTTCTTTCGAATCCAGCGGGAAACAGTCTCCGTCCCTGAGCTCCAGAGTCTCTCCTTCGAACTCTGCCTGCTCGCTTCCTCACCTGGAAACCGCGTAGAAAGCTGAGGCGTTTGAGGAGGCCACGGGCCATGCTGTGAAGGTCGAGTAGTGGGAAACAACCAACAGGTCCGAGAAGGAGAGGATCTGAAGGGCCCTGCTCAGGGCCAGCAGACTTGAGAGGAAAGCAATTTACAGTCATGTCCAGCATGGCAGTCTGAACTGACTGACATGTATACCTATCCACCTCCTGCTAACAGCGTCACGCAAGTCCTCTTCTTTCATGCGGCACCTTAGCGAGGAAGCTGACGGCCGTCCCTGAGCTGAACTCCAACACCACCTGGCCGCATGAGGCATCATTGACGATCACAAGGACTCAAAGATTTCTAACTGGATTGACATCCATGGACTCTAGCTGATGTTGATGTTTCATTTCGAGCAGGCTTTCATCAAACAATCTGTTTCTCTCTCGTCGGCTCAGCACTGCATGAAACATGAACCGCGCTCTTTCACAAGCTTCATCTCAACATGGAAAGATAACTTTCTCGTTGATAGCCTTGACCACCTTGAGGGTGAGATCACAAATCACATGATTGAACCAAAGTCCAACGGCACCTTCCCTTCCTCCTTCGCGATCTGGAGCATAGTTGTGGAGAATCCTATTAGATACAAACAAAACAATCTTAAATGTGCCTGTCTTAGCATATTGATCTTGGTTTCCATTGAATCTGACGCAAGGAAGAATATGACCTACCGTAATTTGAGTTCAGACGCACATCTGAACGTCATGACTGCATAGCAATGACGTCTTGCACTCATTTGCGTGCACAGGTCGCAGGGAACATACCTTCTCCGTCAATCCTTTCACCGAATCGCGTCTGAACATCGTGGTCTCATGGTTCATCGCGGAATACGCACAATGGATCTGTTTGCAGTCAGTGGGAGCGGCTCAGTCTCGAGGAAAGGAGTACCCATGTGGGGTGCAGTTCAGCAGGGCTGGCCCGATGACTGTCATTCAAAAGATCCGGGAGCGAGCGGCAGGGGAGACGCACCTGAAGAAATGCTCCACCTCTCGCTGGCTGTCGCTCTCGATCCCAGCACGAACTGAGCTCTGAGCATCAGGCACGCGACTAGTTAGTCCTGCCCTGTTGCTCACCGTGTATCCCAACTACTTTCATGTCCTTCGGCCAGGAGCTGTCGCAGGCGATCGGGGAGTCATCGAGCTGGCAGCTATGCTGGTACTGCAATCACCTGCTGATCCGTTTGGCCCACTCTTGGATGTGACCGGCGGGACGCACGAAATATGGAGCTGCGATCTGGAAGAAAGGATAGGGAGTCCCTGCAAGCCGATGAACCTGGCAAGAGACATGCCGGCAGGGCGACCTGGCTGGCTCATGTCGACTCTGACATGCTCATCGAAAACGGAAGTCAATGGTGGGGAAAGGCTGGAGGAAAAAGCTGAGCTCAGGCGCAAGGACTTGAAAAGGTACTGTTGATTGGCGATGAGCTCGGGCATCCATCTCCATGCCTACAACACGTTTGAGATGCTTCCTGCATGCGAGCAATCGCAAAGACCGGCAAGATTACGAGAGGAACACCAGACAAGTAGTAAGACAGGTTTCTGACAACCCTGCTTGTCACGAGCAGCGACCATGAAAGGAAGCAATGGTGTGACCTGCAGAGCAAAAGATCTCCCCAGTTGGACAGTCGACCTGATTTTTCCATCAAGGCGCTTGAGAACACCTTGACTGGAAGAACTTCACGTCCTGGTCGGTTCCTTCCTCCCATCCCCTCCAGCGCAGGTCTTACCCTTCTTCTTATGCAGCTCCAGCATGTCAGCCTGTTGCCAAACGTCAGCTCGTCGTAACGTGCGATCAAGCAGGAGTTCCTGGGATAGCGAGATGTTGCTGATGTGGTGGACCTCAAGGACTTGGTGGATCTTTCGGAGATGATTTAGTCTCCACATGTCATCGACTCCCATCACAGCACCGGGCAGGGCATGAGCCCATTCAGCACGTTGGTTTCGATGGTCCAGTCTAGAAGCTACAAGAGTTCAGGTCGCCCTGCATGCAGTTCAAGTGACAAGATCATCACCAATGCTCTGTTCGTCAAGATGGCGAAAGTCTGCACCAACTTCACATCACACTCTAGAATGTTCGTGCGGTTGAGAACATACAATACATGACACGATCCCTTGAATCCTGGGCACCAGTGTCATGCCCTCAAGCTCTCAGCACACAGTCTACAGCGAGACCTGTTCCCCAAGCCACCATGCAGCTCGCACATGAGGAGTCTCCTGTCAGACCAAGGCTTTGCTGCTCCTGCCTCCCGATCTTTTACTGCCTGCATCTTCCTCCCAGCCAGCGCCGCTGCCCGACGACGTGCTGCCATCAGGAGCGGGAGGGGATGGAAGCAAGCTAGAGGCAGGTGACAATGCCCTCCGAAACCTGCGAGCGACCGGGGGGGACCTAGCGAGTGGGGCGGAGGCTAGCGGGGAGGGGAGGGAGGGAGGGAGGAGGGCAGGGGAATTGGGTAGGGAGAGACGTGCTTATTAGAGGGGGAGGGGAAATGATTTTTGAAGAGAAGCCGGAGCGATGGGCAGGAGGGTAGGATATCTGCCGTACACTCGGATACAGCAAGTCACTTGCAGAAGATCCTATCACCCCTACATAGCTCGTTGAGCTGTGGTGGTCGGCATGGCGGCAGGCGGGAGTTGTAGGTACCGGTGCATTTGACTTGCTGTTGTGGGACATGAGTTCAGCAAGATGAGGAAGCGCGTACACTGGACATCTCTTGCACAGATGAAGATATCAGTCGAAGTGAATACTGAGCATTGCGTGCTGATGACATGATTGAGTGGTCCGCCAAGAACGTTTCTGCCCCTCCATGTTGTTGCGAGCAATGAGCAGCCTGAAGCTGAAAAGTTCGACTTGATGTCGTCGAAAAAGAATAAACAGACAAAAGAGATTCATTCACATACTTTAAAGAACTTTCTTTCAACAGTCTGGAAGAAGGAAAGGTAAATTTGAGGAATTACCCCAATGCTTTACTTCGAATTCATCTTCCCCTGAAAATCCGACCAAACCTGAGACACCTTGCCAATCTCATCTCCCACTTCAACAATAGACTCAAGATTTCTATTTAACGACCCCATGTTTGTCACCACATTTCCCAGACCCTGCATCACGATTATCGTCTTACAGACAACAACCCAGATGTCCAATACGTATGACAATCAGAGGGAACCCCAGTCAAGGAAGTACAGGTAGGACAGCAGTAGGATGGTGGTGGTGGAGGAGAAGGAGGAGAAGGAGGAGAAGGAGCTTGAAGGTAGACAACTCTTCCCATCCATCAACGAACCTCAGCTATCTCTGCCAGCATCGCTTCCCGCGCCTCCTCAAACTCCTCCGCCTGCATGGTTTAAATCGACGGTTACATAATTTCTCCACGCTTCATAACGGCATCCGGGCCCGGGCCCGGCGGACCGTACTTGACTAACTCAGTAACCGTTGTCTCCGGGCGGCTCAACCTGATCCGACGGTTTCCGGGCCTAGGGGGGCAATCATCAATTTCCAATCAACAAATTTTTGGAGTAATCATTTTCCAATCAACGAAAGTTTGCAGTAATCATTTTCCAATCAACTTTTTGAAACAATAATCATTTTCCAATCAAAACTCCCCGTTTCGTACCGTTACACGTATCAGAAACGGTCGTAACCGTATACTTTTGCAATCATTTTCCAATCAAAATCAACTTTCAAACTTTCAACCCTCCATTTTGGAACTTTACCCCACCCCTCCACCCCCCTTTAAACCCTCCGTTCGGACCCCTCCCCATGAAGGGGGTAGCCGCTGTGGGCTTCGAGGGGTGGGTCATGGGGGTGGGTCAAAACTTCCAATCTTCTGTTTTGATTTTGTTGCGTTCAGTGTCATCTTTGTGATCTTTGTGAGGGTTTGCTTGCATGACATGTTTGCTCAGCCAAGGATAGCTGAGGTGATGCATGCTCTACACTCCCCAGGTCTGCGATCACCTCGCAAGGACTTCTTAGACGCGAGCCCTGGGATCCGAGGGAGCAAGAGATTTAGCGAAAAGCCAGCTGTGATCTCATTAAACGGGAAGAGCGGATGGAGCAGCAACATGCCGATCCGCAGTGAGGGGAGTTACGCGGAGGAATCCGATGAATCTAGGTCGAGGCTGCCTTCTATATCAAGGAAGCGAGCTCCTCCCATCGTGGCTGGAAAGCGAACAAGGTTTCCGAGATGGCCAGAGTCATCCATAGGCTCCATCTTCGGACGGAACCAGGACGAGGCACAGAACCACTATCAGACTGTCAATCAATTTTTCCTCAGTCCAACCAGGCCGCAATACCCGGACGAGTCGTTTCCACAGGGAAGACAGATTCGTGATCATTGGGATAACATCTGGTACCGTTAGTAGCGACAACTTTCTCTTCTTGTTTGTAATAAGACTACAAATCGATTCTTTGATCCAGTACTTCAAAGTATTCCAGGTAGACCATTCTTGTCGTCGCTACTTTTTCAAAGAGGAATCTCTGGTTTCTAACCTACAGAGCATATAATTCAACATGTTTCGCAACCTTGCATTTTCGTGTTCCGCAGCTTCTAGGTCTTTGGAAATTTCATCGACGTTGCTTGAGGCTCGTTGGAATCGGCGAAGGTGAATGCCATAAACCAGTGTTATCCGTTCCATGAGATTCACCATCACCTCGAACTCGTCCAGGGAGCCATGTGCCATCCTGTCGACTTCACGTCTCATCAATTGGTGCTCCAGAAGCATATCTGTGAGGGAGAGATTGATGCTCTTCATAGGGCAAGAGGATTGGCTTCCCTGTGCAGTCAGTTGTCATCAATCAGCTCTGAATACGGAGGAGGGACTAACCTGTTGAACGAGCACTTCACGACTGCTCGAATCATATTTCCTATCCATGGTCTTCATGCTATCTTCCTCATCATCATTGGATCTTTGTTTGTTTTGTCTGTGGAGTTGCAAGTTGAAATGATTCATTTGGTCTTCCAAGCACTCGATGCATCGCTCTAGATCATCGATTTGTTCGCTCACACTGATGTGCGCTTTCTCTATAATGTTACAATCATGGTATCCACGAGACTTTTCTTGCATTGAGCTGTTCAGCAACGCCTCGGCCTGCAGTTTCCATTCCAGTTGGCTTGAGTTCAACAGTTCTTCATGCAAGCTCCTCTCAAGAGAAACTCGTCTTGCAGTTTCCTTCTCCAGCTGGATAAGTACATCTCCGTAAGCTGAACGTTGCTGTTCCAGTTGGCACTTCAAGGTCTGCAGATCATTTCGAAGGCTGGACAGCTCCTCTGGCCTCGTCGCAATTAGATTGTCTTCATTACCCTCTACCACGTCATTGCACGTGCGAGAAGTCTGCGCCTGGCTCTCTCGTCCAGAGGAACAGATAACCACGTGCTTCTCTGCAGAACCCTGCGGCCTCCTCGAGGCTGCTGGCGAGCTTGCAGGAGGGCGAGAGGCAGTTTGGATCAGATCCTTTCGGGTTCTTGCGGGTTCGAATGGGCTGGCTCGAGCCCCTTGTTTCGCCACGAACAGGCGAGCAGGGACTGGTCTCTCAGCCCGACGAGTGCTGCTGTGCAAGCCTCCATACGCGTATCCCTCTTGCGGAGAGCTCGATTTCCTGGGCGTTCTTGATCGTGGGGAAGCGTGCACCATGTCTCGGGCAAGCAGAGAGTTAATGTGATTCCTCGAGAGCTTGTAGGAGAAAGCAGGAGACGGTGGGGTAGTCTCCGAATCTCTAGAAAGAGGCAGTTGACAAGAAAGAACAGGCGTTGAGCCTGCACCCGACTTCTCCTTAGAAGGCGTGGGAGAAAACAGAGGGCTAGCAAGTCCATGGATGAGGTCAAGCATGGCTTTCGCACGGTTTTCAGTCCCATCCTTCATACCAGTGTCCATCTTGCTTGTCTTGTCAGACACTTGCCGTCGGTCTCTTCCTCTTCGATCTGCGCGCTAGGGTAGCTCCCTCCCTCCCTCTGTCCTCCCTCCCTGCCATTCGGCTGATTTTGTCCTGTCCAAGTACCCCTTCAAATTTCACCCACCTCTGTCAATTAAATCCAAATGCTTTGCAAGTACCCGGTACTTTTATAGTCAAGATACAAACTCTCCACCCTCTACCCCCCTTACTCACGAGCTGTCGGGCGGTCTGGCCATGGCAGGGGCGGTATGAAGGAAGCGCATGCAGTCCTCCTCCTCCTCCTTCTCGTAGCGACCCTGAGCTCATGCACGGACTCCGACACACTGCTCAGCACATGCTCGGCTTCAGAAGTGCCGTCCTCAGTTCCTACCCTTGCCTCCTTGTCTCCATCCAGGGAGGAAGGATCCCGGGCGGAAGGGGGAGCGATCGGAGCGTCCGATGAGGAGGAGAGGCACAAGGCCTTGTCGGACTGGAGGAGAAAGTTGAATCGCAAACACAGACATCAGCAAGAACAGGAGAGCGGTCGTGTCGGAGGAGATGAACCTCGGAAGGTCCTGGTGGTCGACATTAACTTTGGAGGTTTTTATGTTGGAATGCACCGACCACGTTCGATTTGAACTGCTAGGTTTGTCTAATCGCCGACAATCTCTCATGTATGCTCTAGAAGCTGCAAGGTCTTCATCGTTGTGATCTTCGGGCGCAACCCCTTCCTCACTGTGTTGTCGCAGACTCCTCAACCGATCGCTAGTCCTCGGAGAGCATTTCGATGACCCTTTTCCTGTCATGAGAACGTAAGGTCGAGTTGAGGGTGACATCTTGCTGTCAGACATCTTTCGGGCCTTGCATGTCGTGTGTCAGACCCCTCGGCTTCTACTTTAACATCTCAGTGATGAATGATTATGCTGCGATCACCTCGTAAGGTTGGCGGGGGTCCTTGGAGACGATGACTTGATGCAGTTACGAGAAGTTCTTCTCGAGGATGGAAGCTCGTCCTTCTGCTCGGACGGTGATGACGGGAAAGTGAGGTTCATCTCTCCCTAATCGACACAAGTATTGCAAAGGTGTTTGCTTCCAACGCCCTCCCCCATGGCTACAAGACGCGGAGTGAGGGGGATGGGGGGGAAGGCAGAGGCGGGAGTGACGCCTGATGGTCAGATGGGATGGGAGCATTACAAATCTGCAGGGCCCTGAAGATTTCAAGAACCTGGAGCCGATCGCTCCTGCCGACTTGACGTCGAGGTTCGGAGACAACAGCGAAGAGGTTAGTCTGATTGTGCTGTGGGCCGAACGTGGTCGTGCCCTCACTGTTGCTGGAAGATCGTTTGGATCGACACGAGCTTCCGTCTGGTGGAAGTCGGGAGGGTGAGGGCGATCTTTGACGGGAACGAGGTAGCAGAAAAGCCTTGACGACTTTCTTGTCCTAATCTTTCTTGTCCTCATGGCAGCGTTCTCGGGCACTTCAGGCGAGGTGTAGCTCCTGCATCTCACGGTGAGAACTCCAACTCCATCTCCACAATCATCTTCATTTTCTTCTTCATCTCCAACTTCATCTTCATCTCTGACTTTTCTTCCCGCGTTCTCTCCCAGTTGCCACTCCGCAGAGTTCAACCCAATCGTCAAGTGAAATTTCAGACCCTCCCGTGGTCGTCCTCTCATCGCCTCGCAGGCAAAATGGCTGGTGCGACTCCTCATGCAGGAGAGAATGTCAGAAAACTTGTACAGACGACTGTCAGGTCTCAAGAGAAACGCTCACAAACGCCTCAAAGGTAAAACCTGAGCCTGCCCTTCCCCCTCCCCCCATGTCCTTCTCCTCTCCTCCCCTTCTCTCCTCTCCTCCTCCTCTCTCCTCCTCTCCTTCCCTCCTCCACTTGTGCACCGATCCCTCTCTCCTCCTCTCCTTCCCTTCCCTCCTCCCTCCTTCCTCTTTCGTTCTCATCTCCTCGCGTCGTCATCTTTCGTCTGCTCTCGACTTGTAACTTGGAACAAGCTTCCGACTTCCTTCATCCCGGAGGACTTTCTTCTTCTCCTTGCTCACGTTCGCTACTCAAACAAGCTGGAACTGACGGTGTCGCTCCCCGGGGCCCGATGATCGCCTTCCTGACGATTTCCTCCAGGCAGAGCGCCTGCGCAGGAGGATGAGGGGAACACCTCCAGCACAGCAGCATGTGATCGACAACGACGAAAGCAAGGATTTCATTTGCGCGCACTGGAGGACAGGCGATTGGTCTTTCCCACTCTCACCCGAGGTTTTCCTCCTGTTCCTGCTCCTGCTCCTGCTCCTGCTCCTGCTCCTGCTCCTGCTCCTGCTCCTGCTCCTGCTCCTGCTCCTGCTCCTGCTCCTGCTCCTGCTCCTGCACCTACTCCTGTTGTTCGTCCTGCCTCTGTTGTAATCTCCACATTCTTGTCGTCACCCTAGTCGTAGGCTCTCGTCACTGCCGTCACTCTTGTGATGGAGGAGGAGAATATCTGTGAATGTTGCTCCTGCCGCTCCCCTTCTCTGACATCCCCCGCAGCATTCCACAGCCAAGCACAGGAGGGAAGAGGTCTCGTGCGGTGCGCGCCTTCCCCTCCTTCCTTCAGCTTCTCCTTGACCCTCCGGCTCAGCGGCTTGTTCCTCGCTTCCGATGCCACGGAGGAGCAGCGGGAGCTGGTTGCAGAGAAGCTCCCGCTGCTGGACTTCGGAGATGGGTGAGGAGATCATCAGCTGTATGGGAGCTGACAGACAAGTAGGATGCGCTCCGTGACGAGGCGGCTGATCGAAGAGGAGGCGCCAGAGCTGGTGGCGACGGGAGAGGAGGAGGTGAGACATGAGAGTCTGCAGCATGCCAGTAAGAGAAAGCAGGAGCAGGAAACCGCCGGGGAGCGGGAGGACTCGATCTTGAATGCCATCTTGGAGCAGCTGGTTTGCGCCAAGGTACGAACGGAGAAGGAAGGAGAGGACGAGGAGGAGGGGGGGGGATGGGGGAGGAGGAGACTAACGTGATGGGCAAGGGGGTTGTGTTCATCGGAACACGGAGGAGCACATTCACAGAGACCATCGTTGAGGAGAGAGTCCGCAACGGGTTCCTAACAGGCAGCAACTACCTTGTGCCCTGACCGTCACCAACGGGCATGTTCGGTTGGAGCAGGAGAAACTTTCTTAGAGGGTGGAGGTGCGGGAAGGAAGTCGGGGGACGCGAGTTGATTGATCGTGATTGAATAAGAAGAAAAAAGAGAAACACAGAAAACTTTCTGAGAGAAAACTTTCCACGTGGGCAAGGAGACGATCGTTCGCTCCTCTACTTCTTGCCCGCCTGATTCGCAACTCCAGCGATAGCGGCCTTGATCGCCTCCTGGTCTCCGAGGTACTTGCCCGACATAGGAGCGAAAGCTCCCTCGATCTGTCCCCACGTGAGACATGGAAAAGTAGAAAGGAAGAAAGGAAGAGAGGAAGAAGAGATGGAGTGCAGGAGCTGGAGCTGGAGCAGGAGCAGGAGCAGGAGCAGGAGCAGGAGCAGGAGCTGGAGCAGGAGCTGGAGCTGGAGCAGGAGCAGGAGCAGGAGCTGCAGACCTTGACGGGCTTGAGATCTCCATCATCAGTCTCCTCGAGGTGGTAGACGAGAGGTACAGAGGTCGGAATGTTCAAGTTTGCGATCACATCCTGGCACAGCATGTCAGAGGGCAAGAGGACAAAGAAGACAACGACGCAAGATACGACGACGAGAAGAGTGAGATGTGATGTGCAAGTTTCACCTCAGGGATGTTGTCGAGATGCTTGACAAGGGCTCTGAGGGTGTTGCCGTGGGCAGAGATCAGGAGCTTCTTGCCAGACTTAATGATCGGCATCAGCGTGTCGTTCCACAAAGGCATGAAGCGCTTCACGACGCAAGCGAGAGACTCCGTGACCGGCAGCTCTGCATCGGACAGGAAGTCGTACTTCTTCTCCTTGCGAGGATGGAACTCGTGATCAGCAGGCATGGGAGGAGGAGGAGTAGCGTAGGATCTGCGCCAGATGAGAACCTGGGTCCCCCATGTCAGGCGATAGAGGAGGAGGATGGAGCTGCTCTACCTGATCCATCCCGTGCTTCTCCACGGTCTCGGTCTTGTCGAGCCCCTGCAGAGCACCGTACATTCTCTCGTTGAGGCGCCAGTCATGGTGCACGGGGGTGTGCATAATGTCGAGGTCCTCGAGGATGTTCCATGCGGTCTTGATGGCACGCTTCAGGGTGGAGGTGTAGACCAGGTCGAACTCGAGCCCCTCCTCCTTGATGGACTGCGCCGCCCTGTGGGACTCCGCGACTCCCGAGGGAGCGAGAGGGACGTCGACCCATCCGGTAAAACGGTTCTCGATGTTCCACTGGCTCTCACCGTGGCGAATCAGGACGAGTGTGTGGATCTGGACATCAAGTCAGAGAGACAAAGACGAGGAGGATGTTGATATGCTGGATAGCTCGAGCCGATATTGACCGTGGAGAGAAAGAAAAGTAGCACATGAGACATGTAGTTGTTGGGAAAGAGTGGGAAATCAGAGGGGCAAAGCTTTGAGGAACACATCCTGAAGAAGTCATGTTGTCCCATCGATTGATCTACACACCACCATGAAGAAATAACATAAACACAGCAGGCACAGAGACAGAGAGAGAATATTTTTTGATTCAATCAAGCAATATGAAAACAGAGATGAATGGATGGAGAGAGGGGAAGAAGAGATGAGCGAGGGAGAGGACGTGTTATGATATGAATTGAAAAATAAGAGAGATGAGAAGAAAACGAATGAGAATGGAAGAGAAGAGGAAAGATACTGATACTGATACTGATGGATCAGAATGATGAGAAGGGGAGGACGAGTGAGAGGAATCGAGGAGGTGCTGCAGGGGTCATCCTCCTACCTTGCCCATGGTGCTTGCAGGCCCTGGCCCCCCTCTACCACTACCCTCCATTTACCACGATTTCGCGGCTCGGCTCCAAGGTGGGTTATTTCTGTAAGTGGACAGGGGTAAAATGAAGGTGAAATAGTGGGTAGGGTGGCGTCCCTTTATGTATGGCCTGTCCTGGTACTGTTACCCCATTGAAAATAAATAGGTAAACTTTTGTACAAATTTTTCAGTAATAAATATTTAGTTACAAAGTAAGTGATATATTATGATAGAATTTCAAGGGGTTCGTTCCCAGCAAGTTGCGTCCGCTCAGACACACGTGGAGGACCACCCCTACACTGCCCGTTATAAACCGTTACATTTTGATAATAACTAACTTGGCACCGAAACGGTCAAAACGAATAAATGCGGCTCATAACCTAATAATCATACAGTCACTGACGGCCGGGTCGCCGCGTGAGACTCTCAGCGCCGGCCCGGCCGGGCCCTCCCCCGGACTCCGATGGTCAGATCGGCTCGCGCAAACTGAGTTGGAATGACAGACAGAACTCGGAGCTTTACTGGTTTATCCGCATATTATCTCATCGTGCATCTCCCTCCAGAAATAGACGCCATGGGGCCCGTACCGACGCAAACATGAGCAGAAGCAGGTCCACCGGGCGCAGGGGACCGAACCCCAGTCATCTCCATCTACTAACGCGACCTTGACAAGCCAACGGTCAGTCTCTTTTAGCCGGGCTGCAAGGGATTCGCCGACCTGGTTGGGCTGGTAGACTTCCTTGATGGTTTCCCAGTAAGGAAACTCGTCTGGAATGTCCACATTCACCCCCTCCAGGTCTCTTCGGGCCTGGCAGGAAGGAGGCGCTCAATCGGCGTGGTTGCACAAGGGAGGGGACAATGGAGCCCTACCACCATGTCATGGCAGATGCTTCCGACGACGACTAGATCGAACTCCTTTGCGCGCAGGCGCTCCTCGATGTCCCCGCGATCGATCTCCTGACCTCGCTCATCAGCCTCTGACCTCTCGCACGATCCCCCCATGCACCTCGTACGCTGGCAGGTGTCCGGCATGAAAGTAACCCCTGACGTCGCAGTGAGCGAGACAAGGGCCGGAGACAGAGCTACCAGGCATGCAGGCCGTCACGAACGACCTTCTCTGTCAACTCCCAGTCCTGCAGCGGCATCTGCCCCTGGGCTGATGATAGAGATAAACCTGGCAGCCACAGCAAGGAACAGAGCGAGGAAGCTGGGGGAGAGGTAGGGGAGGAGGGAAGGAGGATAGTACCTGGGAACCAGTCATCGTACATGTGGTCCAACCTGATCTTGAGGGAAACGAGTCAGCGGGAGAGGGCGCAAGGGATAGGAGGATCACAGGGTCAACGAGAGAAGGTCCAAGGAGACTGCGGAGGCCATGAAATAGCATGTCTGCCACCCGACGATCAGACGATTCAGTGACGTCCCTCAACGCTCGGACAAACCACGTAGATTCCCTCCTTCGTCAAAGGTGCCATCAGGCGGCCAGGCACCTTCAAATCCCCAAGTTACCGAGTACAGCACAGTCAGGAAGACCAAGGAGACCTGGATAGACTATGTACAAGACTTTTACAGCTCCAAGGTCAGTCACGTTCATCATCTTCAAGAATCTCTGCAATGACTGTTGGAGAGGTTTTGAAGGTTATCGACCCGTTGCCTCCCCCACCTTTGCGAGAGCGATAGTGGAAAGATGCTTCTTTGTGAAGTCCTGCAAAGACAGGGGTGTTGAGCTCGCTAGTGGTCTTGAGTTCATTACCTGCAGCTGGTGGAGGAGTATGAAGTAATGAGAGTGATTGAAGACGGAATGATCTATTCTCGTCTCCACCACATGGTCTCCATCTTTGATCACCGTCACGCCCTACAAGGAGCACACTACAGCCTCACGAAAATGATCAGAATTGAAACCTACAGCACCTTCATGCCCATGGCTTCAATCACGAGCCCTCGTGGGAAGGTCATCATCGTCTGCCTGCTCCAGGACACGTCATGTCCGGCAAAGGATCGTCACTGCTTGCCGAGGAAGAGACGTCAAGTTGAAAAAATAAGGGATGGCTCCCGCAGCCAGAATCTCGTAATGCCTCATGCAATCCCAGCCGGCCTGTAGTGCTACCATAAATAGCTGCAACGATCGCAATAACGACGAGGATATCGCCTTTCTCCTGGTGATGGCGAAGTAACTTCTGCTGTAATCATCGAAGTAGTCTGTCCCAGTTTCTCACTGCAGGCCCCCCGACGGTCAGATGACTTGCCTGCCTCGTCTAGAGCGTTGTACATCCTGTGGGAGCGGTACATGGTGTTGGATCCAGGCTTGTAGGGCGCGAAGTCATAGATCTAAGTCAGGTCGGTCAGTGAGAAGCTGACTCAACAGGCTGGTTGACCTTGGGCAAAGGATCATCGCGGATGTACTCTGATCCATCGGCACAGTAAGAAGCAGTCTCGGAGGTCATGTATGTCAACATACCGGGATAGGCTGCATAGCTGATTGGGACGACTTTGTAGAAGAACGGCTTGTTGAGGGTGCCAGAAGCATTCTACACACACGAGCATGAGTGAGGGAGCATAACACTGTAGCTTACCTGAGGCCACGAGATATCTATCCAACCGAGACCTCCAACAAAGACATGCTTATCCTGCTGCTGCTGAAAGCGAGAAAAGTTCAATCAATGAGCGCTAGGCTAACTTGCACGCGTACATTTTGATTGAATCCCGTGTCATCTAGAAACGTCGGAGGGTGAAATCTCTGCATCCAGAACTCCGACTCCGACTCCGATGCAAACCTGGAGAACCGATCGACTGTCAGGAAGCAATGAGTCAGTTCCGACCAAGAGGCATCCAGAAAATTCCTACCCATCCTCCCCCTCCCCTCACAGCTCACAGCGCGATGCTCGACCTCGCTCAGCTGGTCAGGAGTCATCAGGAGCGCGCAAGAGTGCGGGATCTTCTGTCTGCTCCCGTGGAATATCCGCGGAGGAAGGACCGTGATCCCAACGTCGCACAGACCGTCCTCATGGCAGTGAGGTAGGAGGACGAGGGACAGGATCTCCGGGGAGGTTATCGCCCTCATGCTGGAGGCCTCAACCATCTGAAACCTGAAGAGATGCTGCTTGCCAGAGCTCAGTCTGCACAGGAGTCAGCCTACAGCACCAGCTGTGGCAAGTTAGACCTCCTGCTGCAAAACCTGCAGGAATGCTCCTTGCAATTTGCCATCTCCACTCCGCGCCCGTCGGCTGATCCGAGTATGGACACATTCGGGTATGCCGACATGTCGCGCGAGATGTCGAGACGGACCTCAACCTCACACATCACAGTTCCTCTCTCAGGCTCTAAGATGTCTTGAAGGCAATGCTGGGTTCCAACGCTTGCTACACGGATTCTCGGGCAGCCATCGCAGACTTGGTGAGGTATCGCTGGATGGTTCACAGCCAGTATGGTGGGACTGAACATCTCGGCGAAGGCTGCTGCCATGTCCAACTGATGGAACTCAGTGGTTCGCAAGGTACAAAGTAACCCTTTACCTGCAAGAGGTGGGCTGCTAGCAGAAAACATTCCGCACGGAGTGGATACCTTCGAGCAGAAGAGCGATCATGTCCGAGACCCATCGTCATCGTCCTGTCATGTCATGGACATCTTGTCCTCGTCTCTCACATCTCGCTCTCGTCACGCCATGGCGCCCTCCCGGCATCAAGTAACAAACCATCGCCACATTGCCATCGGGGAGGCTCTTTTTGTTTTTCTTGTAAAACCACGACAGGTAGGGGTTGGCCCGTCTTGTATGATAAGCCTCGTGCCGGACATGTCGGATTCACAGGGTATGATGCTGCTCCTGCTCCTGCTCCTGCTCCTGCTCCTGCTCCTGCTCCTGCTGCCTCTCCTCTGTGAGCTCCATGTTGTCTTGTCCAGCAGTCAGAGACTTCTCTGCTATGCTGTGTGTTCCCTTACCTGTCAGCCTTTCACCTTTCATCGTCACTTACTACTTTTCCTTCCACCCACTGCCATCTGAACTTCTCTTGATGCTCATGATTCAGATGCTGCCAAGAGCAAAGAAGGAAGCAAGGATGAGCAGTCAAGGTGAGGAGAACCTCGGATGTGGGGTAGCGCTGAGATCCCTTGCGTGCAGCTGGCAAGACAACTGCCATGGCGTCTCCGCTCTGGCCATCAAGAGGTTGATCAAGTTTGCTCACTGTAAGGACAAGACGCTGCTGATCTACGGAGGGTTGAAGACGATGCTGGTTGCCGACTGCTCGACCGGATCGCTCATGGAGCTCGAGCAGAGCCACACGGAGAGGGTGACGAGCGTGACGGTGGGGAAGGACAAGGAGGTGATGGTGTCGGGGGGGAACGACAAGCGGCTGGTCGTGTGGCAGCTTCCGGAGATGAAGGTAGCGAGCAAGACAGTGACGGACAAGAAGGTCGTGTCGGTTGTCCTGGACGAGGAGAGGAGACGAGTCGTGTTTGCTGAGATAGCGGGAGAAGTCTTCCAGAAGCCGATCGACGACCTTGACAGCAAGGCTGAGCACCTGCTGGGGCACATCTCCTCCCTGACCGACATGCGCATCTCTCCCTCCGGCTCCCGCCTCCTCACCTCGGACAGGGACGAGAAGGTCAGGATCAGCAACTTCCCCCACGCGTTCGAGATCGAGGCCTTCTGCCTCGGGCATACGGAGCTCGTCACCTGCATCGAGACCTTCACGCTAGCAGAAGAGGAGCTGCTCCTCTCAGGAGGAGCCGATGGCTCCGTGCGCCTGTGGTCTGTGAAGGACGGCAGTCTGCTCGACACTTACATGATTGACCCTGCGGGGGAGGAGGAGGAGGGGGAGGATGGGCAGCAAGCAGACTCTCAGCCTCTAGCAGAGGAGCCCAAGACGTGGGATCGGTTCGCTGCTGGAACAGCGCAGGCTACGGCTGCTGTTTCGGGGAGAATGAGGAGGAGGACGAACAGTCCTGCGGTGGTGGCCCTGGCGTACTGCCCTCGACTCTCGCTTGCTGCTTGTATCATAGAGAATCAAAGGGAAGTGCTCCTCCTCCAAGTCAGCGGAAAGGTTCTCTCTCCCGTCCCGTCCCGTCCCGTCCCTTCTCCTTTCCTCTCCTCTCCTCTCCTCCCCTCCCCTCCATCTCCCCCTCCCCCTCTTGCTCTTCTTCCTACCCCTTCTGTTCTTTCCCCTCCTCGTCCTCGTCCTCGTCCTCGTCCTCGTCCTTGTACTCTCCCGCCCCCGCTTCCTCACACGCTTGCAGGAGCTCAAGGAGCTGAACAGAGTAGAAGTCGACCAGATGCCCGTGGGAATCGAGATAGATGACGTTGAGCATGAGGGGAAGGCGGAATGCTTCATGCTCGTAGCTGTTCTTGATGATAGACCGTGAGTTGCTCCTCCTTCTCTCGACTTCTTCCTCCTCCTGCACCTTCAGCTCCTCCCCTCCTCTCTTTCTCACTTTCACTTTCACTTTCACTTTCACTTTCACTTTCACTTTCACTTTCACTTTCTCATGTTGGTTTGCAGCAAGCTGGAGGCATTTCGAGTGGAGGGAGGGAAGGAATGTGTCGTCAAGAAGATCGACTTGAAGTCATCCAAGGAAGAAAGCAAAATTATCAGGTGAAGAGACTTGAGCAGAATTGACTGGGATGATCTCTGCATTCATGTGAAATTCCCTCTCTCGTTCCATCGGTTGAAACTTTTCTTTGCATCATGATTCGCATGTCCTGTCCCCTACTCTCTCATACTCTCCCCTACTCTCCTCTCCTCTCCTCTCCTCCCTCATTCTCTTCTCTCATTCTCTGCTCCTGTCGATATTGGTTGCTTCCCTTCTCCTCTGCTCCTCTTTTTCGACTGCTTCTTCTCCCCTTGTCTTCTCTCCTCTCCCCTGACTGAGTCCTCTTCTTCCTCTCAGCGCCTTCGCTTGTCTGTCGGAGGAGATGAGCACGCGGCAAGAGGAGTCGCACAAGGCCAGCGGTCAAGGTGAGGAGCATGGGGAGGAGAGAAGAGCTGACGGGTGTCAGATGGATCCGGACAATACTTCCAGAAGAGAAGGCGGCATACGGTAAGATCGATGAGAGGACGAGAGGGAGGGAGAGGAGGGAGAGGAGGAGAATCTTCACATAACTCGGTGAATGTGCTGGCAGGAGCCAGGGTTTAAACAATATCAAGGGAAAGCTGATTGATGATGATGTTCTTTAGTGAAATTAATCCGATCGCATAAATAGAATGCACGATTGCATAAGTCTACTGCAGGTGAAGAAAGAGGGGAGGGGAGGGGAGAAGTGGAAGGGGAATATCAGGCAAGTTCAGGCAGAGAGAACAGCATAAGAGGAATGAAAATAGATGTCACACCACATTTTGATGCTCCAGACTATCAATGATGGTGAAACAATCGATGTCTTCGTCCTGATCGAAGTAAGCGTCATCGTTATCCTTGCTTCCATGATCAACAACACAGTATATCAATTCCACCCTCCCCTCGTCCGCAACATCCGCCCCCATCCTCCCATCATCATCAACACGGTGATCATCATCATCAACAACAACACGGTGATCCTCCTACTTCATCATCATCATCATCATCATCATCATCATCATCATCATCATAATTATCATCATCATCATCATCATCATCATCATCATATCCATCATCATCATCATCATCATCATC